GAAGTTTTTCCTGACATTCAACCAAAATCTGGCTTCCTTTAACTTGAGCCCATTAATATGTGTCTGAACTTTGGAATGAGCGAGATCCTGTCACTTCTCTGTATGACAGATTTCAAATATGTAAAAAATGCAATCATAACTCTTCTCAGTCTTCCTTTCTCAAGACTAAACATGCCCAATTCTTTCAGATCTCTTTCTGAACGTGTTCAGAATTTTTTTATTAAAAGTTTCCCTTAATCCAAGTCATTAATAAAAATTTCAAAGAGCATCATGCCAAGGACTGTGCCTTGTGGTACCATACCTGTTACTTCCTCCCAGTTTGAGAAGGAGCCATTGATAAGCACTCTTTGAGTAAAATTCTGTAACCAGTTGTTTATCCACCTGTAACCAGTCATTCTACCCAGCCGACACTGAGTTAGCTGCTACTCAGAATATCATGGACCCTTACTCAAAGGCTTTGCTTAAGTCAAGATATATTGCATATACAGAACATAAGAACATGAGAATAGCCCTGCTGGATCAGGCCAAGGGCTCATCTAACCCAGCTTCTTGTACCTCACAGTGGCCCCACCAGATGCCTCTGGGAGCACACATGGCAACTAGATACCTGTCTCCTTATACCATTCCCCTGCATCTACAGCATTCCTATCATCTACCTGGAAGGTAATCTGACCAAAAGATAAGTTAATTAGTCTGGCAGGATCTGTTCTTGACAAATCTATGTTGGCTTCTAGTTATTACTGCATTGTTTTCAAGGTGCTTGCAGAGTGATTGCTTTATAATCTGCTTCAGAATTTTCTCTGGGATTGAAACCTGGTTGACTAGTCTATAGTTTCCAGGCTCCTCCTTTTTGAAGATGGGACAATGTTAGCCATCCTCCAGTGATCTGGCCCTTCACTCCTCTACCATGATTTCAAGAAAACAATAGATATTGTAGTTACCATTTCAAGAAAACAATAGATATTGTAGTTACTGAGAGTTCTTCAGCCAGTTCCATCAATACTCTTGGATATAGTTCATCCTGGAGATTTGAATTTGTTCAATGTAATAAAGTATTCATTGACTATTTATCAATAATCAATCGAGCTGCAATCCTCCTGACCACTTCTGCCTTTTCTTTGTCATCTGTTATTATTTTCCATCCCCATTGAGTAGCTAAGCCATTAATTCTTTTCCTTGTCTTTTGCACGTACTTGAAGAATACTTTTTTTCCCTTGGTTTTAGCAACTCTTGCTAATCCTGCCTCATTCTCAGTGTTCATCTTCTTAACACCATCTTTGCAATTCTTTGCTACCTGTCTATACTCTGTCTTTGTGACCTGGCCTTCCTTCCAATCCTTTTTTTTATGAACAGGTGTTCTCTGAGCTTTATCTGAAACTACATTGGTCTTTTTTGCTGTCAAGAGGGACAAAGACTGTGTGCAGAGGGAATGGTCCACAATATTTCTTGCCATTAGGCAAAACATTCATCTTTCTTAGAACTTATCAGAGCCTGGAGGAGTGGAATCATGGGTGGGATGTTCTGTAAAATGTTGTTGCTATGTGCCATGTAGTCACTTCTGAAGCATGGTGAGCCTAAAAGCTTGTCCACGTACAGTGATGCCTTGCAAGACGATGTTAATTCGTTCAGCGAAAATTGCTGTCTTGTGAAAACATTGTCTTGCGAAACGCAGTTCCCCATTGGAATGCATTGAAATCTACTTAATATGTTCCAATGGGGAAAAATCGTCCATAGAAAACATCGTCTTGTGACACGCGGGTCCCCATTGGAATGCAATGAAATCTACTTAATGCGTTCCAATGGGGAAAAATCGTTGTCTTGCGAAAATCGTCCATAGAAAACATCATCTTGCGAAGCGCAACAGCAATGGCAAAAACTAATTATCTTGCGCATTAATCGTCTTGCGAGGCAATCATCTTGCGAGGCACCACTGTATTTGAGATGTTCAAGGAAAGAGCAATCATCTTGCGAGGCACCAATGTATTTGAGATGTTCAAGGAATGGTTTAACCACTACTATCTCTCAGTACATTTCCATGGCTGAAAAGGGATTTGAACCAGGTCTCCTGAGTGCTAGTCTAACACTCTATCCAGCACACCACACTGGATCTCTCTCTGGGCTATCTTCCTCCCACATAATAATTCAGAGTTCAATGTACTTTTAAAATTTCACAAAAATAGCAGCAGTGAAAATGATGGTAAACCTTTAAGACTGACACATTTTATTTCAGTATAAGCTTTCCAATCTATCTCTTCAGACACACTGTATGTCAAAACAAGTGTCTAAAGATAGGAATTGTAACCACAAAAGCTCATACTGCAATAGACCCTCGTGGCGCAGTGGTTAAAACGCTGTACTGCAAGCTAAAACTGTGCTCACGACCTGGAGTTCAAATCCCAGGTAGCCAGCTCAAGGTTGACTCAGCCTTCCATCCTTCCGAGGTCGGTAAAATGAGTACCCAGCTTGCTGGGGGGGGGCAAGGTGTAGCCTGTATAATTTAAAAAATTGTAAACCGCCCGGAGAGTGCTTGTAGCGCTATGAGGCGGTATATAAGTCCAATAAATAAATAAATAAACGTGTTAGTCTTAAATAGATGCAGCAGCCTCCTGACCCTGTCTATGCCCATGTAAGGGCAGACAGATTGCTACCTGATCCGCCCTGTGCCCTTCTGGTGACATTCCAATCCAATTTTTGCCAAGGTCCCTAACAGTGTTTGTGCATTTCCAGAACCACATGAAAAACTCCATTCCTACAAATGCGGAAATGCAAATACAGTAGCTACGACTTGAGAACGGGGTGGGGCTGTACAGTACAGTACCACCCATTTTGGAGACATGGTAGACAATAAATGTTCATAGAAAGGAAGCAACACAGGAAGATTTTACTTCTTCCCACGGGGATCCTTACTGTGGACTGTGGACATGGCAAGAGGCAGTTGTATTTCTACCAGTCTGAAGAAAAAAGAAAGGTAGTGACGGGAGAGGAAAGACAGACCTCAGAGTACTAATTCTGACCTATCCATTCAAACCCCATACAAGAAAAATATAGGCCTTCATCTAGTCACATGCACACTTAATTCTAGTGGTGCAAAGTTAAATTGGGGTACCCAGTATGTAATGGTGGTTGGAGTGAAGGACCTGGGTTCAGTTCATGGATTCAGAAGACCTGGGTTCAATTCCTTGACCCTGCCATGGAAACTCACTGGAGGTGGGGATGGAACTCGTAAAGCTACTCCTTAAATACCTCATTTACCTTGAAAATCCTATTAGGATCACTATCTTTCAGTTCTGACTTGACAGCACGTAACAACAACAAAAGGTTAATAAACTAAGCTAGTAAACTAAGGGTAAGGTGGAGAAAAATGTAGAATATGAATCCTAGCTAGTAAGGAGGATGACAGTCTTCCACCTTGTCTGACTTCTACAAGAAATGGCTGGCAGATAAGTGACAGGGGGGTGTACAGCGCTCATTAGCTTCAGTCTGAACTCTCCTTGGCATTTAACAACAACAAAAGGTTAATAAACTAAGCTAGTAAACTAAGGGTAAGGTGGAGAAAAATGTAGAATATGAATCCTAGCTAGCAAGGATGATGTCAGTCTTCCACTTTGTCTGACTTCTACAAGATAAGTAGCAGATAAGTGACAAGGGGGTGTACAGCGCTCATTAGCTTCAGTCTGAACCCTCCTTGGCGTTTTAATGGGTAGGATTTTTTATATAATTATTTATTTATTTTTATTTTATTTTATTTATCCCCTGCCTATCTGGTCATTTTGACCACTCTAGGCGGATCTCCAGAGGATTCATTGGTGGGGTCAGTTGTCAGTCTCCTTTTCCTTTCGCACCCACTGTGTCTTCCTCAGTATCATTTGTTACTTTTAGGGTGTGATCAGGGAGAGAAATAGGTCACTTTTGGTGCAGTCTGGTGATCTATTTCCCAGCGATCACACAACTTGTGAGGAAAGGTGCTCCAGACCAATCCCAATCTATGCCCAAGATCGACCTTTTTGGCCCAGCTGTAGGGCACTCCTTTGGAGAGCCTGACTGCAGTGATTCCCTGACAAATGGAAGGGTCATTTTAAGGGAGATTGTTCCCATTAAAGCATTCCTTTAATCAGACCTAGGCAAAGTGCGGCCCGAGGGCCACATACAGCCCGTGAGCCACTCCTGTCTGGCCCGCAGACAATTTTGAACATCAAAACCATTTATAGCTTTTTGTCTAAAGTCGATCAGTTGCTTATCTTTAACATACCGCAAAAAAACTGTTTAGTATTTGTGAAGATTAACAAGTTTAAAATAAAAAGCAATCATAACATCACTGTTTCATTTTACTTTTAAGTAAAGTTGGTTCAGCCCCTGAACACAGTCAGATTTTTCATGTGCCCCCCTATAGAAATTAATTGCCCACCCCTGCCTTTAATGAAAGCAATTGGACATGCGCCTTTATACCTGTTAGATCACATCCTTAGTTGTACTTTGATCTCTTGGAATTGTGCCTCAATGAAAGAAAGAAAACAAATAACCATATAAATGCCAGATTGAACGCCAAGGTGAATGCCAAGGTGTTGTATAGAATCCATGTATAGAAACTGATCAGCTGTTCAATTATATATCAGCTCTGGCCATGATACACTGTGTTCAAGGGTAGCAGGTTAATTTACAGGGTGTAAAGCAGTTTGTGCAATATAGATTTCCCTTTTCCAACTCTCCTGCTGCACCTGCTACCTGCATCTCTCACCTCGAAGCAGCCACCTCACTCTGCCTCACGGAAGGGCCGATCCAGTTAGCACAGGATCCCTTCAGATATGGTTGACTAACTTTTCAGTCAATAACACCATTCTTTTCGGGTATTTGTAAGCCTCGGTGCAAATGAGTTACCTACATAAATAGCCTTCTTCTGTCAGTAAATCATTAATCAATTGCTCCTGGAATTTCCCCTGAGAGGACTTTTGCCCTTCTTTTCTGCCCCCTCCTTTGCAGATAGAAAGAAAGAGAAAGTGAAATCGTACTGCTGCTTTGTGAAGAGTTCCAAAAGTGTTTTGTCTTAATGCGCTCGGCCTGCTTTCTCTGTTGAAAGCCTTGTGGGTTTTAATCAATTTTCATAAGAGCCAAAGAAGATGGAATCTCCTCCAGTCTCTATAGATAAAGTATCTTGACAACTAAGGAGAGTCAAAGAAATTACCAGTTTAATCCAGGTGAGTATCTCTGGCAACCACAGTTTGAGAGGCGTCCTACGTGCTACCTGATCTGCTACTTGATCTACTGGCACACCAAGGTATGTATGTATGTATGTATGTATGTATGTATGTATGTATGTATGTATGTATGTATGTATGTATGTGTTTGTTTATTTGTTTATTTGTTTATTTGTTTATTTGTTTATTTGTTTATTATTGTATGCCTGGTTTGGGTGGATATGTTCCTTCTTCTGTCTCACAGATTAAATACAGGAGGAAGATAGAAACTAAAGGTTAGCTGGATGTGGGATTCTGAGAACTGTAGTCCAGAAAAGCAATTTTGCCAACTCCCATCTGGCCAATAACATTCATACAGCAATTCTGGACTTACGGCTATGGGCAAGGCATTTTAATTCTCTCTCTCTCTCTTCCCCTCAGTGTTTCTGTAGGGAAAGGGATTTGGATGTGTGGTATGCAGGCTTAAATCTGTTCAACTGTTTAGCATAACAGTAATTATTGCACTTGTAAGACCACCATGTTGTTGTTGTTGTTTAGTCGTTAAGTCATGTCCGACTCTTTGTGACCCCATGGTCCAGAGCACGCCAGGCCCTCCTGTCTTCCACTGCCTCCCGGAGTTGGGTCAAATTCATGTTGGTCGCTTTGATGACACCGTCCAACCATCTCGTCCTCTGCCGTCCCCTTCTCCTCTTGCCTTCACACTTTCCCAACATCAGGGTCTTTTCCAGGGAGTGTTGGTCAAAAATGAGATAAAGCCAACACCCACCCACTCAGAGGATAACTATGCATATCTGTTTCATGACAAGCAGGATCCTATTCACAAATGGAGACTGTTAACAGTTCTAATCCTGCATTTCCTCCAGTGGAGTGATGCAAGCAAGATGTTGCCCCACTGAAAACAAAGAGGCTTTCTGCTTGTCTAACAGGTTAGATCAGTGGTTCCCAGTCCTGGATAACACTAGTGTTCCTGGACTGAAACTCCCAGAAACCCCAGCCAATATAGTAAGTGGTGAAGGCTTCTGGGAATTGCAGTCCAAGAACAACTAGGTGGCCTAAATTGAGAAGCACTGTGTTAGATTCTCCCTTGTATAACTAGTGCAAGAAAAGGAAACATGGGTGGGACGGACTGTGCTGCTCATGGTTAAGACCCAACAGGTTTCATGTACACTCCAATTTTCTTGCAGCTTAGGTATCTGAGGCTACTTACAGAGTGCTAGAGTGTGTGTGAGAGGACAGATGCACAACTTAAAATATTAAAAATGCAAGTAAACTTGTAATAGTAAGAGTAAATAATATTAAAAATATTAACGTAAAAGTACTAAACTTAAAACAATGAAAAAACGGAAACATCAGAAAAAGACAGTCACATGCAAGAACAGTTTTACAAAATAAAAAGAAAAAAAAACTCAATTCCAGTTTTCATTTTAAATGCTGTTTTGGCTGCCAAATAGGCATTTAAAAGGGAAAAGCTCTCTTTAACAACTAAATAAATTTAACTAATACTAACCAAAGAAACAAAAGAGCTGGAGAAGAAGCGGTGATCCTCTGTGGCTGTTTTCCTAAAATATTACCCTTAGTAAAACCTCAGTAAAATGCCTATTTAAATGAAAACCTCCATAAAATTGTAGTATGACCTTATAAATAATTTGTTTGTTTGTTTGTTTGTTTGTTTGTTTGTTTGTTTGTTTATTTATTTATTTATTTATTTATTTATATCCCGCCTAGCTGAATCACATAGGACCAATCTAGGCGGCTTACAACAACAACAATTTACAATAAAATTAATACAATTTTAAGATAGAGGAAAGACAAGAACGAAGTGAAACGGAGACTAGGGCAAAGGAAAAATGGGGAAGGTCAGGAATTGGCTGTGGGGAAGGCCTGCTGGAACATCAGTGTTTTTAATTGTTTTTTAAAGATACCCAGCGAGGGGGTGGCGCGAATGTCAGGGGGAAGGTTATTGTTAATGTAAGTAGCTGGCTGGAGGGAAGGCCTGCTTAAATAACCAAGTTTTTAACTGTCTTTTAAAAACATCCAGTGAGGGTGCCAGCCGAATTTCTGTAGGAAGGGCGTTCCATAGCTGAGGGGCCACCGCCAAGAAGGCCCAGTTTCTAGTTTTTTCCTTCCGAGCCTCTCTCGGCGTCAGAAGGAAAACTTCCAGAACACAGCCAAGCAAGCTGAAAAACCTACAAGAACCTTTGAATCACCGGCTGTGAAAGCCTTGGAGAACACATCAAAATGAAAATTACTTATTATGTCTTTTAAAAAATTCATTAGCTAGTTCAGCCATGCCAAGCCCACTTCGGCCATACCTCCTCAGGATGCTGGCCATTTGCAAGGATGGCGCTTAGGCCCTCTGGACTAGTCTGATCAGGGTTTATAAGCTGTAGCCAGCTTATAACCAGGGGCACAACTACACTTTCAGGAAGGGCCAACCTTAGTCCATTGCAACTTTGTTCATTTCACATGATGAAATGGTATGGTTTTTCAAAAATTATGCATGGGTGCCATTTTTAAACCAGGACTTCTACCCCAGCTGGCCAGTGCTAGATTAGGGCTGGGGTAGCTGCTGATATTTCCGGGCCCCGGGGCTTGTCATGCAGCAAAACCGACAGTGTTGCTGCCCAGCTAGTGCCCGGGAGGCTTCCTGGCCACCCCACCCCTAGCTGGCTGGCAACTTTGTTTTTGCTGGAGTGGGGGCTCATCCAGCAGCGCCTTTTTCCCTACACCCCAAGCAGGCAAAGCTGTCCTGACCCTGGTGCTGTCAGAAGCAGCAGGAAGCCTCCCAGCACTGGCCAGCTTGCAGGATAGGGACATCTCCATGTTGTTGTTGTTGTTTAGTGGTTAAGTCGTGTCCGACTCTTTGTGACCCCATGGACCAGAGCATGCCAGGCCTTCCTGTATTCCACTGCCTGGTGGTGAAATTCATGTTGGTCGCTTCAATGACACTGTCCAACCATCTTGTCCTCTGTCGTCCCCTTCTCCTCTTGCCTTCACACTTTCCCAACATCAGGGTCTTTTCCAAGGAGTCTTCTCTTCTCACGAAATGGCCGAAGTATTGGAGCCTCAGCTTCAAGATCTGTCCTTCCAGTGAGCACTCAAGGTTGATTTCCTTCAAAATGGATCGGTTCTCTTTGAAGTCCAGGGGACTCTCAAGAGTGAACAAGGATTCACATTAAAGCAGGACATGTGGCAGTGGATTATCTCAAATGTGTAGTTCCTGCCCACATATATCTTGCAATCAGGACAGGTTTTAAAAGCTGTTACAGTGGAACCTCGACTTACGAACTTAATCCATATTGGAACGGTGTTCATACATCAAAACGTTCGTAAGTTGAAGGAAATTTTCCCATAGGAATGCACTGAAAACCATTTAATCCATTCTGGCTCTTTTTCGTTCTTATCTAGCGTTCACAAGTAGAGGCATTCGTTCCCATAGGAATGAATGCAAAGCCGGTTAATCCGTACTCTATCACTAGGGGGAGAATTTTGTTTCCTTTTTTCTTCTTTTGACCTAAGATGAACTTAGGTCAAAAAAAGGGCAGGAAAGGGGGGGGGGAACACCTTCTAAGCAGAACACCTTTTAAACCAAGCACCTTTTAAACAAAATCCAAGCACCTTTTAGCTTTAAAAAAGGGCAGGAGAACACCATTTAAACAGAACACTTTTTTTGTTTGTAAGTTGAAGTTCCGTTCGCAAGTCGAAGCAAAATTTTGCGCCCAGAGCAGTTCGTAAGTCAAAAGGTTCGTAGGTAGAGACATTCGTGAGTCGAGGTTCCACTGTATTTGTTCCCATCCTACTTAATTTCTGGGTATGCTAGAGTTGCCAGTTTTATTTTGTGCAAGGCTCCTGTGCTGTTAACATTGTTCGACACACAGGAAAGGGAAAATGTTTCCTCTGCACCGACATATTGCAGCTCCTCCCTTGCTTTCTGCTCTTATAGGACTTTTAGATGCCAAGATAACCAATCAGGGGAAATAGATGAGAACCTTATATAGCATCACAGAGATGGAATGGGAGTGGGGGAGAGAGCAGTAGGATGATCAAATCTAGCAAAGTATAGACTTCATGTAACTTTTCTAGGAAATATTGGAAGGCACAGATTTATGTGCCTTCATTTTCTGAAATTTTATCTTTTGCAAAAAGAAAAAAATCCCATTCTCTTTAAATCATATAAATTATATAAAAGAAAAAAGACTTAAGGGACTAAAAAGAGGGGAGGGTTTAACAGAAACATAACAATGAAGAATGCAAATATACGTAAATGTTAACAAAACCCAACCCCATATCTAAGTAAATATCCATGGGCTCCAATAGATGTCAAAGGTGTTGTGAAGTCCTTGGACCAATGATCAACAGAAAATGGGCATGCCTTTCCAGCATTGCAATATTGATGCTTTATCCACCTTGAGGACTGGGAAAATCAATTGGTTTAGCCATTGGTTAGTTTCCAAGAAACAGGTGGATAACTTTCAGGGAACAGAAACGTGTGCAAATTTCAAAAGCTGCTCCCGACTGTCTTCTGCACAATTATTAAAAGTCCAGAAACCCAGTCCACCTCTGCCTATGATAATCGTAGTGAACAATATATGAATCAATTACAAAGCTTGTTTTGATTCTACCAAGTGGTAACCATGGAGATCCAAGCCCTCCTGCTTTCAAGAACATAAGCAACAGAGTGACACCCGTGGACCTCCTTTAACCCAGGCAGAGTGTGCAAATGAGAGATTGCTTCAGAAATCAGACACAATTACTTACTTGGAGAAGTCAAATTGTAGTAACACATGGTGTGGCAAAAATCTATCCCAGATCTGACGTGGCCTGCTGGATGCTTCTAGAGATTTTCTATCACCGTCTTTACTCAATACGTTGACAGAGCGGAATGAAGTCATATTGTTTATTATGTTGGGGAGAGTGAATGTCTTCATTTTTTCTCTAAGAAACTGAAGGTTATTTCAGAGTGTGTGTGCTTTCTTTTGCTGATTAATTCTTATATGCCACAGTTTGCTGGTAACACATGCTCTTTCCAAATAATTTTCAGAAAGTCCACGTAAGAATAAATTTCATTGGAACTAGAAGAACTTTAAAAATTTGTTTGTTTGTTTGTTTGTTTGTTTGTTTGTTTGTTTGTTTGTTTGTTTGTTTGTTTAATATCCCGCCTATCTAGTCAGCTCAGGACCACTCTAGGCGGCTAACAATCAGAAAATGATAATATATATATAAACAGCATAAGTGATAAAAACCTTACAAAGAGAGAAAACCAGTAGAGGGAGAAAAAGAGGAGTGTCAGGAGTTATCTGATGGGAACATCCATGTCTTTAATTGATTCTTAAAGATACCCAGCGAGGAAGCCCGCGAATCTCAGGAGGTAGGTTGTTCCAGAGGCGAGGAGCCACCGCCGAGAAGGCCCGATTTCTTGTCTTCTCCTTCCGGACCTCCCTCGACGTTAGGCTCCTCAGCCTCCCCTCCTGGCTCCACGAGTGGCACGGGTAGATCTTGGTGGGAGTAGGCGTTCCGCCAAGTATCGAGGCCCTAAACCGTTTAGGGCTTTATACATAAGCATCAACACTTTGAAGTCGATGCGGAATCGGATGGGCAGCCAATGCAGTGCGGCCAGAGTAGCCTAAATATGTTGGTATTTTTTCACTCCACTAAGTAATCTGGCCGCCGCATTCTGCACCACCTGTAGTTTCCGCAGCAGCCTCAAAGGTAGCCCCACGTAGAGTGCATTACAGTGGTCTAATCTTGAGATTACGAGCGCATGCACCAGGGTAGTGAGCACCCCCACATCAAGGTAGGGCCGCAGCTGGGCTATCGGCCTGAGATGAAAAAAGGCAGTGCGGACCACCCATCCTTGGCGGGCAGAGTCCCCCCCCCAAAAAGAGAGGGAGTTTCCCAAATCCCCAACTGTGGGGGGACCTACCCTCACAAAATCTAGATGATACTTTGTTAAGATACATCTTTTGGCAAGAATGGACAGAGGTGTTCTTAAGATACATTGGCCAAAATACTGTTGCTTTGTGTAATAAATTGCACTAGAGTAGGCCCATTCAATCAAAGGTGATTTGGTGAATCAACTCCATTGATCAAATGGACCTATTCCAGTTGTAATTTACCTTGGCATTGTAAATCACAGTTAGAGTAGGCCCATTTGAATCAATAGTTAACATTATATTTGCACAAGCTGCATCATCAGAGTTATGTAATTTGCCTATAATGATTTTTGCCTTCTTAATGTTCAACTGCAATACTGCTTTTGCACTTTCTTCTTTTATGTTCATCAGGAGTTGTTTCATGTCATTGATGCTCCTACCAGTAAGATGTTATCATCTGCATATCTTAAATTATTGATGTTTGTTTCACCAGCTTTCACTTTGCCTTCATCTGAATCTAGTTCAGCTTTCTGTATGATACACTCTGTGCGGATGTTTGTTTCACCAGCTTTCACTTTGCCTTCATCTGACTCTAGCTCAGCTTTCTGTGTGATACACTCTGTGAATGGATTGAGGAGATACTGTACAGAGATAAGACACACCCTTGTTTCTAAATACAGTACACGGTCCTAATGCTAGCTTTTTGATAGGATTTTTATCAGTATAATCAAGTATCGAGGCACACCAGTTTCCTATAGAATTCACCAGCTTTCACTTTGCCTTCATCTGACTCTAGCTCAGCTTTCTGTGTGATACACTCTGTGAATGGATTGAGGAGATACTGTACAGAGATAAGACACACCCTTGTTTCTAAATACAGTACACGGTCCTAATGCTAGCTTTTTGATAGGATTTTTATCAGTATAATCAAGTATCGAGGCACACCAGTTTCCTATAGAATTTGTTTAAAAGCAAACAAATTTGTTTCCTCTCCTGTGGAGAGAAAAGCAATTTGTTTGCTTTTAAAGCTTCCTAAAATTTTTCTAGGGACCACATCATACCTGGGTAATTAAAGATTACTTAGAACTGTGCTTTTCAGTCTTTTGTCTTTCAAATGTTTTGGTCTTTAACTCCCAGATCTCTGGCCACTTGCTATTGAAATCCAAACATCTGGAAACTCAGAGGCTGAGAGTCACTGATTTAGAATAAACGCTTGCGAGGGGATTTCCGCAATCCTTCAGCCTCCATATCTATATTATATGGGAAGTCTGGAAGCAATAGTCCAGAAAGTAACTGTTCCTACCTCTGCTGAGAATACCTTTTGGGGAACAATATGTTGGTGTAGCTGTCTTTTGAAAGGTCTTGTTTTAACTTTTACAGCTGAAAAATGTTGTGGCATCGTAAAGACTAACAATTTCAATTCATTGTGATCTTGTGTGGATCAAAGTCCCCTTCCACAGACACCTTCTCCTTCTGCTTGCTGTTATTTTATTTATTATTTATTTACTTAAAATATTTATATGCCACCTTTCTCCTAAAGGATCGAGGCAGCTTACAGCACTGAAAGAAGCCCCATTAAAAGCGAAATAATAAATTATTACTACCCTGTATCCCTGAAAATAAAACCTAACCTGAAAATAAGCCCTGTATGATTTTTCAGGAGGCTCGTAATAAAAGCCCTACCCCAAAAATAAGCCCTAGTTAAGTGAAAGCCCACCTTCCATCATTGTGCTGAAGATGACATGACTGTATTTGAATAAATGTAGATGATTGCACATGGGGGGAAAATCCCCTGAAAATAAGCCCTAATGCATTTTTGGAGCAAAAATTAATATAAGACCCTGTCTTATTTTTGGGGAAATGTGGTATATTTTAAAAGCATTAAACAGATATATTAAATTCCATAAATAAGAGCAATATTAAAATACCAAATAAAACAACAGAATAAAACAATCCATTTCACAAATCTAGTTAGCCAACCAGTCGTTTAAAGGCAAGCCTGCCTGAAGAGAAAGGTCTTTGCCTGCTTGTGGAAGGACAGCAAAGATGGGGCCAGGCTAGCCTCCAGTGGGAGGGAGTTCCACAGTCTAGGAGCAGCGACAGAGAGGGCCCTCTCCTGTGTCCCCGCCAAGCACATATGTGAGGGTGGTGGGATTGAGAAAAAAGCCTCTCCTAATAATCTTAATGTCCACTTGTTATACTCTTTGCTTCCTTTGTATGACACAAACCCTCATTCTGTCATTTTTGTTTACCTTTCCTTGCCAGTAATTGTTTTCAGTACATCTGCAGTGTTTGCTGAAAAGCGGTGATGGATGAATGTAAAACAGAAAGAAGGGAGGAGACTAGTGGGGAAACGGAGTTGCCATCAGTGCCGAAATCTCCCTCAAAATGCTCGGAGGGCAAAGACAGTAGTATCGCTCTCAATTTTCGACCCATCAATAATCAAGGAGAAACTAGGCTGAAAACTTTTACCAGGGATTTCAAATCAAGATGGAGCTTCAAAGATACACGTAAATCGGTCAAAGAGGACTCAACCAGAGTCAAGATGGATGAAAGTAATAAAGAAACAAGAAAGGCAAATGCGAAAACAGAATTTCCTGGAAAATGCATAGAGGGTGAGGGTGACAAAGATTCACCCCCTGTGGATGATCAAGAGGAAAATTTACCCCAACCCTTCAGCAGAGTTCATAAAATAATGCAGAGTTTTAGGAACGGTTCCTCTCTCAAAGAAAAGTCATTCGAAGAAACCGGGGCCTCAAAAACCAGCAGCAAACGATTTTCACTGGCATTAGTATTTAAATGGCAAGAAGATGGCGACCAAGCCACTAAAGAAAAAGAGAGCATGCCAGAGGAAAACCAGACGTTTGGAAGAGAAGAATGTGTTCAAAAAGAACCACTTTCTGGTAAGAAATTAAAGATGTTTTAGGTTGTTTTCTGGGTATCCTGGCCTTCTTAGCTTTGGAAAGCTGTACGCTTGAGTTGAAGTATGGCACACCATTCTTTGAAGGTGTCGCAAGGCAGATCCCGCGTATTTACCACTCCTAGTCAAAACCATGACACTGAATTGAGTAGTGGTTTGTTCCTTGAATTTATTGGTAATTAGTTAGCCGTGAATGAAGCTCCATAAACGTGTACCAGGAATGGGACTCTTCAAGGGTGGTATGATGTTGATGGAATGTTCTCTCTAGAGTGATTTGGGCAGAACTGACTCACTAAATTCTCTCTCTCTCACACACACACATCCTTTATTTCCTTATATTTGCTTCACAGGTTTCCTTGGTTTTTAGGATGATCTTAGTGAGCCACAACATACAAGAGATGCTGTCTCACTTGTGTCTGTGAATTTTGCTAGCTGTGTCTCTGTGTTGTTTTTTTTAAAATTAATCTCATTTTATTTATTTGAACATGCTCATCGCTTGTTTTGACTGTGCTCAGAAGCAAAACAGGAAAATAAATTAGACACAGTGAAAATTTTTGGAATCTAATCTTTGGAGCCAACCGTGATCCGGATTCTCTCTGCCAGTCAGCAGTATTCCACACAAATTGTTGCTCACAAGATGCCATAACTCACTTTGAACAAAACTGCACAAGACACACAAAAAAAGCCTTTGTGCTATTTTATCTGGCCATATGGACTATAAAAACAGAAAGTGCAGGAGAGAACAAGATGGCAAAATGTTGGTACTCTTTCTCCTCCATTCACAATTTAAGGATCTTTCTTGTGTGGCCTCTTAGAGCACAATCCTATGTCTTCTTACTGTAGAAGTTAAGTCTCCTTATGTTCAATGGAGCTTGTGTATTGTGTTATGTTCTGTTGATCTGACTTATGGCAACTGTAGTAGGGTTTCCAAAGAATGTCGGATATTTAAAGAGTGGTTTTACCCTTGATATATTATGATTATATCATATGCTTACTTCCTAATGTGGAGAAACACTTTTTTAAAAATTGCTATTGCCTATCCCATTCATATTTCTCTGGACAAAGAACTGTGTTGAATTTCAGTTATACATCCTCATTGCAATATAAATAAATTCACCATTTCAGTTAACAGTTACATTACCATTACAACTGATCATTTGCTTAATTTAATCAGTGATGAAGTACCTCTGTAGCAATAATACAAATGCATCTGGTACCCCTAGAGTCAGTGGAAATCAGACTACTAGTTTGCCACTCCCCCCATGGTAATGGAAGTAAGGGCCTGCCCACACTGGCATATAGGCATGATGTATGCCTTGCTGATGGCACAGTTTGGATTGGGGGAAAAAGACCTTGTCTGCTAGTATATCTACGCAGAATGATCCATCCTTCCTCTTTAAGAGCTGCCCTGCACCTTTCTGGCCCAGCAGAAGGGCGTTCATTCTTTTTAGCTGGGAGATAGCAGCTTCCAGCAACTGCGAGAGTTTAAGAGAGAAAGTGGAGGGAGAATGGAGGAAGGGAAGTAGGAAGGGGGCAAAACCAGCATTCAGAGGATCAGGGAAAAGGCTTCTCAACACGGCTGATTGGGTTGCAAGAGGTCATTTGCTGTCTGGACAAGAGGAGCATGCCAAATGGCACATCACATTTCTCCACCAAAAAACCCCCAAACTTTTTGTAGTCCAATCCACCGACACCTAAAATGGCCAGTCTGGACAGGCCCCAAGTCTGCCCAGGAGGGCTCTAGTTTAGCCTGAAGATCAGAGGCAGGTAGGAGATGGTAAAAGCGCCAGCAGCAGTAGTGTACTGTCGTCAGCCACTGGGAATCAAAGCAGGCAATTTGGGTTCCTGCTGCCACCGCCGATGCTATTCCCATCAAAGAAAAGGGAGCAGAGAATGATCTGCTACCCCTCTGAAGGGCAGAGGATATTTATTGCTATCTGCTTATCCACTGGAGGCAACAAAGAAGCAGGGGTAGATTGTTGAGACATTATAGGAGAAGCAGCCTCTCCGAAAGAGGTCCTAAAGTCCTAGCAGCCAAGCAGCGGGCGCAAGACCTAAACAAGAAAAACAAAGGGGACTGGATTTGATCTAAATCACAATTTATTTATTTTTTAAATCGGATTTTTCAATGAGTCAAACAAAAAAAAAGTTTAAAAAAATGAAATCATGATTAAATTTTTTTATTAAGTCATTTTCCTCCCACCCTGCAGGACATCTTTGCTATTGCTTCACGCATCAGGCTTCATTTGGGGGACATTTTTAATATAAATGTATGCGTGTGCAAAAGAAGCGCATTTAAAATTAAAAGCTAATTAACAGAGTTAAAGTTTGCTTTAAAATATATATTTTAAAGCAAACTTTAACTCTGTTAATTAGCTTTTAATTTTAAATGCTCTTCTTTTGCACATGCATACACATAATAATATTAAAACCTTCATACAATAGGATTTCAAGGTAATATCGTTATGGTGCTAATTTTTAAAAGGAAACATTTTTTTAAAAAAATCCAGGAAGAGCAGATGAATAATACCATCACTTCTTTTGTTAAAAGATGGGTTTTCTGTGGTTTAAGAAAAAGACCTGATTCTGGTTGGCGGGAGATCCAGGGCAGACAAAAGAAAGCACTTCTTTACATAATGAGTCATCAATTTACGGGATTTTCTACCCAAGGAGCCTCTGGTTTTAAAGGAATTAGACACATTTATGGAAGACAGGTTTATGAATGGCTATTAGCTATCCTAGATAATAATAATGAATTCATTTCTACCAGCTCTGATCCTTAGGTACCCAGAATAAGCCCACCCACACAGCAGGTAGCTCGGAGGAGCCTCAAGGCTTGCAGATGTACAGAATAAAAAGGATGTGACCCCAAAACAGATCAACAAGGGCTGGACATGATTTGTGGAAACAGGGTATCATCTTTGTCTATGAGGTTTTGTGGTGTCTTGAAATGGTGATTGTGTAGAATTTCTAGACCATGTGGAAGCCTACAGGGGCAAAGGTCTATAGGCATGGGCTTCCATACCGCAGATGGCCAAACCAAGACATCAATGTGAGGCACAGGGCAAGTGAAAAGCACAGTCTTTGTGAGAGAGGCAAAAGTCTGGACCTCTTGGAGATGTGGTACCATTTCATATAATTAACGTGGAAATGGGGCTGCAGAAGCCCTTGGCAACAGTATAGGTGGTTTATGACTGGGGAAGGGCATGCCTTCCCAGAATTTTGGGGTGATACTTCCACCCTAGTTCATGAAATGTCCCTAGGTGATGGGAAACACTCATTTCTGGGATTGTTGATTGCCATCCCCACCGTCTCACAAACAGCATGACAACAGCCATGAACAGCCGTGATGGCTGTAGTACCCTAAGAGTTATAGTACTCCAAAAGTAACATTTCATATCTCTGAAAGCCACAAGGTACTTTTGAACAGGAAGATATCTTTTGCCAGGTGGTAGCAAGGGACGTGGTGGCACTGCGGGTTAAACCACAGAAGCCTCTGTGCTGTAAGGTCTGTAGATCTTCAGCTGTAAGATCGAATCCACGTGACGGAGTGAGTGACTGTCACTTGTCCGAGGTCCCGCCAACCTAGTGGTTAGAAAGCATGCAAATGCGAGTAGATAAATAGGGACCGCCTCGGTGGGAAGGTAAACAGCGTTCCGTGTCTAAGTCGCACTGGCCATGTGACCACGGAAGATTGTCTTCGGACAAACGCTGGCTCTATGGCTTGGAAACGGGGATGAGCACCGCCCCCTAGAGTCGAACACGACTGGCCAAAAATTGTCAAGGGGAACCTTTACCTTTACCTGGTGGGAAGAGCAGAAAAACTTTGTAACTGTTAGAGTAGTACGACAATGGAACCAATTACCTTGGGAGGTGGTAAGCATTCTAACACTGGAGGCATTCACGGGAAAATTGGACAGCCATCTGTCAGATCTGTTTTGACTTGGATTCCTGCCTAGAGCAGAGGGTTGGGCCTGCCCTTCCAACTCCGTTATGCTATGAAAATGGGGACGGAATGGAACACCTTTGAAATGGGCATGGCTGGCTGGCTAAAATGATGAACAAAAGCACTCTCCACTACAACATTTTGCTTGTAGCTCAAAAGCAAGGTATCCACCTTGATCAGAAATCAACAGCACAGAAGTTAACAGCACAGAAATGCTGCACAGAAGTTAACAGCACAGAGACGCTGTTATTTTGTGTGGCTAAAACTGCCTAGAAGCATCTGGCTGATCCTGGTAGCAAACAGATCAGAATTGGGAAAAGTTATTTTTGAAATTAAAACTACCAGATCCCCCCCCCCAGCCAGCATGTCTAGTAGTTACAGTGATTGGATGATTCTTGAAGCAAATTTCCTTTAAAGTAACTTTTCCAAAACTCAGAACAGGATGTTAGACTTATTTGGCCTTAGCCAAAAAATTTGGTTTGTAGTGGAAATATTTCAGAATGATTCCTAGAAAGGAATCTGTGCAAGCCAGATGAAAATAGAAGGGGGGAATATGAACTTTTCATTCCAGTGTAGAATTTTCTATGTATATTTTTTCAAAGATAGCATTCCAAATCTTCTATGTAGACCCCAGAAATATGCTATTGATGTTGCTCTTACATTACATTTTTCCTTGTTTTCTTCAGTAATGCAAATAAATGAACTTATTCAGAAGAGGCAGCTTTTGGAAGCCTTTGAACACATCAGGGATTTGGAAATAGAACTCTTGGCTGAAAGAGAGGCCAAGAAATATGAAGACAACCTCAAAAATTACATGGCGAGGGCTAAAGATGTTGATTTGCTATATAAGAATCTCTCCAAGGAAATCCAGGATATTGTAGAACAGATGCTGGATCGCTCTAGCATGGATGCAAAGGTACTGATAGAAAAGATGGTGGCTTTAATTGAAGAAGAAGAAAAATCACATTCTGGGGCTACAAATATCACTGTGCCTTCCGAGCCTGTGGACCGACTTGGGTTAGCCAGAAACTGGAGAGAACTTTGGGAGAAAATGGTTAGCGAAAGTGTGACGAAAAGGATCCATAAGGTACATATACCGTTGAAGGATGATCCTTCTTGGCTTTTGACACACTTAGGGTTTCTCAAAAATGTCGTAAGGCAAGATCTATTAACCATCAAGGATTCTATACATAAGTTCTATCCAGACGATTACCGTGCGTATGATATTTACCTGAAGGCTTTCCACGAAGCCCTCTCTTTGCACTTACAAGGCATCCTGGAAGAACAAGATAGTTTTGAATCCCAAGAATTCCATGCTGTTCTCCATTGGGTCACAAAAGTATACCACAGGTAAGTGTCCTACTCTCTGAACACCATACCCTGTTTTCCCGAAAATAAGACCTAACCTGAAAATAAGCCCTAGTAGGATTTTTCAGGATGCTCATAATATAAGCCCTACCCCAAAAATAAGCCCTAGTTAAGTGAAAGCCTGCCCTCCACCACTGTGCAGCAACCAGAAGATGACATGACCGTATTTTAATAAATGTAGATTGTTGAACATGAAAAAAAAATCCCCTGAAAATGAGCCCTAATGCATTTTTAGAGCAAAAATTAATATAAGGCCATGTCTTATTTTGGGGAAACATGGTAGTTCTTTGATTCTGAAAGATGAGAAATGACTCTTGAACAATAGCTCTTGGAATCTCGTGTTTTTAGAATTCTGGGCATTACTCTCCAAATAGGTTTCCCATCTCTGGTCACTTTAAACTGTGCTTAATACCTAACATGTGAAGTGAGGGAAGAAGGGCTAAGCATGCTTTTGTTGTTTAGTTGTTTAGTCGTGTCCGACTCTTCATGACCCCATGGACCAGAGCACGCCAGGCCCTCCTATCTTCCACTGCTTCCCGGAGCTGGGTCAAAAACATGTCTTCCACTGCTTCCCGGAGTTGGGTCAAAAACATGCTAGCACCGCCCTTCTCTGTTGCCTCGCCTTGTACATGAAAGCCCCTCACTTGTGTGTATGTGTGTGTGTGTGTATGTGTGTGTGTGTGTATGTATGTATGTATGTATGTATGTATGTATGTATGTATGTATGTATGTATGTATGTATAAATTTTCAGTAAGTTGCAGAAAACAACTGTTTGTTATATATATATTAATATACAGTGGTCAGTGTTTCACAATATTTTATATACTTTTATTAATATTTTTATTAATATACAGCAGTCAGTTTCACAATATTTCACACACACATATATATATATAAAGAAAAAAACAGCGGTCAGTGACTTTTTTTTGAAATAACTAGGCAACGATCAGTTATATCAGAGAAATAGTCTGAATAGTGCTTTCAGAAAGTCCACTCCTGGGACTGACCTCACAGCGGAAGTTCATATAGAACTGGCATGCCAAATCATATCCTTCCTGCCATTCATCAGTACTCATATCAGTGTCTGTGTAGTTTGCATTTTTTGTTTCCAAAATGAACCCCCCAACCCACTCCCAAACTATTTTACTTTAAAAATGAGAGAGAGCTGATTAAGATACATTTACCAACCAAAGCTTCAACTTTCCTTGCTTAGCCAGGGAAACACCAGGTGTGTGTGTGTGTCTATGAGGTGCCTACTTATGAGTCACTAAACAGAAGACAGCTGTTGAAATGGAAGATGTCCTCTCTAAAAGAGACTATATGACCACCGTATTTAGTTACTAGCATCCTCCTAGTTAAGGGACGTGGTGGCGCCTTTGTGTGCTGCAGGGTCAGAAGACCAGCAGTTGTAAGATCGAATCCACGTGACGGAGTGAGCTCCTGTCGCTTTGTCCCAGCTTCTCACCAACCTAGCAGTTCAAAAGCATGTAAATACGAGTAGATTAAGAGGGACCGCCTCGGTGGGAAGGTAAAACGGCACTCCTTGGTCATGCTGGCCACGTGACAATGGAAACTGTCTTCAGACAAGCGCTGGCTCTACGGCTTCAAAAATGGGATGAGCACCGCCACCTAGAGTCGGGCACGACTGGACTAAAAATGTCAATGGGAACCTTTACCTTTACCTATCCTCCTAGGTGGCATGGTCACTGGCTTTATTTCTGGAGGCCCTGCCTAAGATTTGCAGCCCTGGTTTTCCAAGGCTCTAGATGAGTTGGAGATCCAAAATGACTTGATTCCAGTCTGGACAAATTGAATTGTGGGGGGAACACAATCTTCCAGGGCATATCACTATACTTTCTGAAAAACCACACTGGATGGGAGGACACATGGCTAGCCCAACAAGGGGACACTTAAAAACATTCCAATGGCATAATTCATTATTTGTTGTTTAGTCATGTCCGACTCTTCATGACCCTGTGGACCAGAGCATGCTAGGCCCCCCTGTCTTCTAATTCATTATAAGGTATCTCAATAGGTCCATATTCCCTTCCCTGCTTATTAGTTGGATTGCATCACTTCCTATTTTTTAGTTATTATTTTGTTTTAGTTTAACTTCTTTTTACTTGGCATGAGTTGGCAACAGGAAGCTGGGGATACGGTTTGGTTATCTTTTGACTTCCCACACGAAGGGAAGGCAATGAAACCACCACAGAGGGTTCAAAGAAGGGCGAAGGAGAAAGAAACGCCGAGAACTCCATTATCGCAAAGCTTTGCAGCAGAGTTCAGGACCCCGTTTTTCTGATGATACTTTCCTCGCAGATCGCTTGGCGTTTCAGTTCCAAGCAAGTCTTATTCCGCCCCCCCCCCCAGTACACGCATTTTGCAAAGCACAGCATCTGTTAGGAAGTCTTTCCAGGCCAAATTAGACACATGCAGTGCAGCCTCATGCTTCAAGTCTGTTTAATGATTAAGTCATGATATGTGGGTGGGGAAAACAAGTACCCATCCGAATCGGGCGTCTTTTAGACACAGATAGTAGAGGAGCAGGAAGTTCTATCTCAAAGCAAAATAATATTTAGTTAAATGTTTAGTTGCATTTAATGGGTTTGTGGGACGGATTAAAAAGAGAAAGAAGCAAATACATAAATATAGACTACATATAGAATAATATACATATGTATTCTATGTATTTGTATATAGTATATGTATTCTGTATATTATATGTATGTGTCCGATTTGCCAATAGGATTCTGGCCACCATGATTAACAAATAGATACAGTGGTGCCCCGCATAACGATTTTAATTGGTTCCAAAAAAACACACGTTATGTGAAACATCGTTATGCGAAACACCATTTTCCATAGGAATGCATTGGAAACCAGTTAATCCGTTCCAATAGGCACGGATTGCCGTCCTTAAGCGAAAAAACCCATAGGAAACATCGTTAAACGATACAATGTTTCCTCCATTGGAATGTATTGAAGCTGACTCAATACATTTCAATGGCTTTGCGAAGTCAGACAAAGGCGCCACCACGTCATAAAAGGGTCAAAAATGGTTTTAAATGCTTGGATTAGCTTCTGCACCCTCTAAAACGGATGCTAAAGTTAATTTGGCTTTGATCTGACTTTTCGTTAATTTATGGTGAATTTTTCCCCCCAACTTTTGACAGCTGTCAAAATCTGACAGCTCCATTATTTCCTATGGGGGAAGAAAAAATTCACAAAAAATTAAGGAAGCCTCAGCAACTGTTCTAAATGCTTGGGTTCGTTAGAGGACCGCCTAAGTCGTGTGCAAACCTGATTTGGCTTTGATCTGAACTTTCGTTAATTTATGGTGAATTGTTTTCTCCCCCATAGGAAAGCATGGAGCTGTCAGATTTCAAGCATTTAGAACCGTTTTTGACCCTTCTAAGACACTTTTTTAATTGAAAAAAGAAACATCGTTAAGTGAAGCAGGGGACCTAAAATCACATTCGTTATGCGAAGCATGGTCCCAAACTTTGCTAAGCGAAAATTGCCCATAGGAAACATCGTTATACGGTGCATATTATTTTCTAAAAAAACATTGTTATGCGAATTAATCGCTAAACGAGGCAATCGTTAAGCGAGGCACCACTGTATATGTATATTTATGTATGTAAAGACTGGAGGGCCTGGCGTGCTCTGGTCCATGGGGTCACGAAGAGTTGGACATGACTAAATGACTAAACAACAACAACATGTATGTATTTGTTAATCATAATGGCCAGAATCCTATTGGTATCTGCATAAGGTTTGCTTAATTTTGGTGTTATGAGATGGTAGCTTTCTGCATTGGTTCACAAGGTGCTGGGGTGCATCTTTGACCCATGGATCATAAAATAATTGAGCTGGAAGGAGCATACCCTCAAGACCTTTGGGTAGAGTGGGCGGCATATAAATTTAAATAAATAAATAAACAAACAAACAAACAAATAAACAAACAAATAAATAAATAAGTAAATAAGTAAATAAATAAGTAAATAAGTAAATAAGTAAATAAATAAATAAATATAAGGCTATTAATTTAGACTGCTGCTCAATGCAGCAGTCTAAATCAGCAGATCTGAGAGTTGGTTGCCCATTTTCCTATTGAATGCCTCCAGTGTTGGAGTGCTCTCCCCCCTCCTGCAGTAATTGGTCCCATAACTAGGCATGTGACTGAGATACCTCCTAGCACCTCATCAATTAACTGAAATTAGCTGCAAGCCTTCTATGAACACCAGTGGAGTTCTGGCTAGTAGCTCTGTCAGGAACAGGAATATACGTCAGGGGGCAGGAGATTTAATACTTTTCTCCCCCTACTGTCATTCCAGTAAAGATCCCACCCCCAAATTACTGTTATCCCAAGTTGGGAAAATGTTTGTTGACATGAATATGGGTTATTATTCATTTATTGCTCCACATTCGATTTCAGAAGTTAAGGATTGCTAAGAAGCTCATTAGAAACTGGATGAGAGATTTCCAGGGAATACCCGAGATCTGCATGTAGGGCCAGGAAAAGAATCCTGTCTGACACATTAGTGGAGCATGGCTGCCAATCAGAATTCTCAGTATGGGGGTAGATGGACAAATGGTCTGACTCATACAAGTTGGAAATTACCCTAAGGGTCAACCCCATGAACCAAGCAGGAAATCCACAGCATCCTTATAAGTGGGCCCCTTGGCTTAAAAAACTTCAATACAGAAGAGGCCACCATCTTTTGAGGCAGACCATTCTTTTGTCAGATATTTGCTGTTATGAGATAGTAGATTTCTGCATTGGTTCACAAGGTGCTGGGGTGCATCTTTGACCCATGGATCATAAAATAATTGAGCTGGAAGGAGCATACCCTCAAGACCTTTGGGTAGAGTGGGCGGCATATAAATTTAAATAAATAAATAAACAAACAAACAAACAAATAAACAAACAAATAAATAAATAAGTAAATAAGTAAATAAATAAGTAAATAAGTAAATAAGTAAATAAATAAATAAATATAAGGCTATTAATTTAGACTGCTGCTCAATGCAGCAGTCTAAATCAGCAGATCTGAGAGTTGGTTGCCCATTTTCCTATTGAATGCCTCCAGTGTTGGAGTGCTCTCCCCCCTCCTGCAGTAATTGGTCCCATAACTAGGCATGTGACTGAGATACCTCCTAGCACCTCATCAATTAACTGAAATTAGCTGCAAGCCTTCTATGAACACCAGTGGGGTTCTGGCTAGTAGCTCTGTCAGGAACAAGGAATATACGTCAAGGGGCAGGAGATTTAATACTTTTCTCCCCCTACTGTCATTCCAGTAAAGATCCCACCCCCAAATCACTGTTATTCTGAGTTGGGAAAATGTTTCTTGACATGAATATGGGTTATTATTCATTTATTGCTCCAGAAGTTAAGAATTGCTAAGAAGCTCATTAGAAACTGGATGAGAGATTTCCAGGGAATACCCGAGATCTGCATGTAGGGCCAGGAAAAGAATCCTGTCTGACACATTAGTGGAGCATGGCTGCCAATCAGAATTCTCAGTATGGGGGTAGATGGACAAATGGTCTGACTCATACAAGTTGGAAATTACCCTAAGGGTCAACCCCATGAACCAAGCAGGAAATCCACAGCATCCTTATAAGTGGGCCCCTTGGCTTAAAAAACTTCAATACAGAAGAGGCCACCATCTTTTGAGGCAGACCATTCTTTTGTCAGATATTTGCTGTTATGAGATAGTAGATTTCTGCATTGGTTCACAAGGTGCTGGGGTGCATCTTTGACCCATGGATCATAAAATAATTGGCCTAGAGTGGTCGCAAGACCAAATGGGCGGGGTATTAATTAATTAATTAATTAAATAAATAAGTAAGTAAGTAAGTAAGTAAGTAAGTAAGTAAGTAAGTAAATAAATAAATAAATAAATAAATAAATAAATAAATAAATAAATAAATAAAGAGAGCTCTCACTAGTGCTGGGGAAGACTTGTCCAATTTCACTAGCTAGGGATTACAAAACCAAACACAGCAAATCTTTATAATAAACCCATAGAACTTTCAACAGCAGGAGAATCACTAAGGCGGTTCTCCCTAAAAAATAGAACTATTCATCTTTAATAATTCGTAAGTGGCAATTCCAAAGTACAAACTGAGCAAAAGCAGGAATGCATAATATAAAATGACAGCATGCAACTACGAGAACAGTTTCTCCGTTCAGGAAATGTTTTTATCGTAGTGCCTCTCTTTGACCTGAGCCAGTGAATACAAAATTTCAGGATCTTCATTGTACACTGAAGTAAAAAGTAGACGTGTAGTCAAAAAATATATATATACAAATGCAAAAGTAGGCAATACCTTTCTAGACCCCTATAAAATCATCCAACAATAAATAAACTTTTGTGGATTGAAACACAACTTCATTAGGTTTGTACCAGTGTGAAGAACTTAAAATTCCAGAGCTTAAAGTCCAAAATACTTGGGATAACATGGAAGATGTATTTTGACAGGAAAGTTGCTCTTAGATGTTAAGTCCAGCAGTTCTTTGTAAGATGAGTTTCACCAGGCTTGTCTGTTAGTCAGGAGTCTGGTTGCTGTTTTATGGTTACAGCTTAGGCAGTTGTGGAATGAGTGTAACAACCCCGTTTTTCTACAAAGTACAGACCATGTTTGTACCCACACCTCTCCATTTCGCCCCTCCACATTCTCTCTCTTCCTAATTTTTAGCTGAGATCTCCTTTCTTGTACAGTGGTGCTTCGCTAGACGATGATAATCCGTTCCACTGAAATTGCTGTTTAGCGAAATCATCGTCTGGTGAAAAGCATTTCCCCATTGGAATGCATTGAAACCTGTTTAATGTGTTCCAATGGGGAAGAATTGTCGTTGTCTAGCGAAGATCGGCCATAGGAAAGCTGCTTTGCGAACCGCCAATCAGATGTTTAAATAGCTGTCTTGTGAAGCTTAGGTGCCAAAAACACCCGTTTTGCGAGCACGGAAAGAACTGTCAAAATCGTCTAGCGAAAATTGGTTTGCAAAGCAGGGGCCAAACATTGTCCAGCGAAATTCCCCCATAGGAATCACTGTTTTGCGAATTGCTATAGCGATCGCAAAAAGTCAATGTCTAGCGAAAAAACTGTCTTGCGGGGTAACTGTCTAGTGAGGTACCACTGTAATTCTCTGTAGGTCTCCAGACCATTTACCATCTTTGTTGCCCATCTCTGGACACAGTCCAGCTTGCTAAATATCCTTCTCCTTTTCAGACGAGCTACAACCAGACTGTTGTGTGACATCTTCTTATGTTCCTAATCTGTTGAGGCAGTACGGGGTGGGGGTTCCGGTGTCAGTGGAGCAGTGAATCCACTCCCTGTTTTAGTCCAAACTTTAAAGGAGCTATTCAAGGTGCCAAACGTATTTGCCATTTAGTGATGGGCACAAAAATAGATTTTTTAGAACTATTTAAGCAACAGTACTTTCCCTCGCTTGAAAGGTGGCCAGCATTTTTTCTATCTTTGCAGCCCTTTCGGAGCAACACAAGCAGAAAGCCATCAAGTCCTCAAATATTGTGGCTCTAAAAGATTGTTCAGGATTGCTTTAGTTTAGGATAATCCTTGCCTGGGAGTCACAGTGGGCTGAGTTGCATGGCCCTATGCTCCACTTAACAAAACACAGTTCAGACATGCTATAGCCAAACTGTTGTGTGGCAGGTTCAAACAAGCATGTCGCTCATTTTTGGTGTTTGGTTTGAATCCACATGTGTTTGAGAGTGAGCCATATCACCCCTTTTTATATTAGTCCTTCTTTTTGGCACAGTGCTCAGGCTACAGTTTTTGGGGATATGATGCTGAGCACTCCTGATTATCTTGTTTTGTAGCCTGTGTGGATGGTTAGTTCACTCTTAAATAGAGCTGTCGGTGGTTTTATCTGAGGCGACAGCCTTGTGATATATTTGGTGGCATTGAAAGGGACAATGTAGATCCCCCTTCTCCATTTTTGCCCATTTATATCTTCAATATATTTCCCTATTTTCTACAGAAACAAAATACATTGGTGGTATTGTGGGTATGTTGCTAGATAGACATATTGCTGTTGCGCTATGTCACTTATTTTAACAAAAAGGAGGAGAGTTGATGCAACCTGCCGAATTATGACCACGGGAAAAGGTGGGGATGGGGTGAGAAAGGGAGTGTCATTAATTGAAAGGGGGACAAATTGGAGCCATCAAAGGACCTGTCTGGACCCTACCCATGGGAGAAAAAACATCAGTCAGAGTAAACTTTAGTGATTGCACTAAAGATAACAATCCTTTTAAGTCCAAACGAGGCCACACCAATTTACCTTGTCTAGACATGCCCTAAGTCTAGTTTCAAGATCACAAAGCATCAGATGGAATAGGAGAGGCCTTGAGATTGTGCATCAGTATTTAGGAGCAGTTGAACAATAGATTGTGCAACAGGCTCACATGTCACGTGCACACGAGGTTCTCTAGTTTCTATGATGGCGGGATATACTGCTGCATGATACAGTTCAGTAAAGGTGGTAGAATGGATTGCACTAATTTGGACTATAAGTAATAAGATGCCGGTTGCAGGACCTTAATTTCAATGCATCAAAGAACATCATTTCATTTCATTTATTTTAGTGAAGAGTTTTTAGGGCATCCTGATCTTCAACCTGAATTAAAAACTGAAGACCTTCCCAGCTTATTAACTCCAGAGGTTTTGGATAAACTGAAAAAAGACTACATTCATTCTGTCAAGGTAACACTTCAGTTTCACCCAGATTCCACTTGATATAAATCATGGGAGGGGGCTAGGGAACACTACGCTGACCTTGAAAACAGAGTATGTGTTATTTCCGTTCTGTGGTGCAATGCTAAGAGACACTGAATGTTCCAACTCTCTTTGGAATGAAATCAGTATTTTGGAAAATAAATCTAGCTTGCAAAACTACACAATTCTTGGAACTCAATGGGGTTTACTTTGAGGATTGTACTTTTATATTCACATCTCCTTGGATCAAAAGCTCCCTTTAAGCAAACATAAGCCTTTCTGTGCAAGGAATATGTTCCTAACCTTTTCTTCCTTACCTTGTGTTTACTTCCTATTGAGTGAAAGCTACCGTCTGGAAGAGCAACCCTAAAAATGCAGGATGATTGAGAGTCAGTTGAATTGACACTAGACGAGCTAAAGCTACCTTGAAGCTAAAATCATCCCAGCCCAGGGGTTTGGGGAAATTGCTTAGGACCATGATCACATTGACCTAGTTTTCTGCTTAGTTGCTGTGTTTCAGGTTTTGGCCCTCCAATACAGGTCTTTAGGTTCATTCTCCAGGTCTCAAGCTTCGGACTTGAAATCTCAGGAAGACTACAACCCACCACCCTAGATTTTATAGTTTAATCTCATGGCTTCAGAATATACCACTTAGACAAGCCCAGAAACACTGGCGTTGGAGGCTCTTCTGCTGGCAGATCTCAGCTAGCAGAGCAAAATTGCTGGCAGATCTGCTCTGCTGGAAGATTTCTGAGATTGAGGTTCTGCTGCCAGAATGGCATTCATGTTGTACAAGATAATTTCTACTCATAGAAAGTATTCCTGTGTATTCCTGTAGGGACAGGCAGGGATTGCAATCCTCTTTGATTTAGGATTGCACTGTAATGCAGTGAATTTCCCTTGGCTCGCATTACTCATCTCACATTTATGTATTTATAAGTGGGGTGTGTTTTAAAAAATGCAGTGTGAAATACTTCTGTTCAGAGTTCTTGGACACGAAATTATAGGTGTTCACCCAGAACATCTAACACCTCTCTCATCATCCAGGAGACTCCATTCTAGTCCACCTCCAATTCTCCATTTTCCCTTCCAACAAGGGGTCAGTGATCTGTGAACACTGAGCATCTTCAGGTATCCTGGACTGTATTTGTAAAGTCCCTTCACGCTTTTCAAATATCTGGTTTTGACTCTACCTCTGTGTTTATCTCTCTGTATTGTCCTTCTGCAAGTCTGGAGACCTCTCAAGCACAGTGAAACTTTATTCTTAGCTTGGTTCTGGCAAAAATCCTGGTAACTTGTGTTCTGGCAAAAATCTTGGTGACTTGTATGGCCCCTGTCTCGCTAACAGTCCGTCCGTCCATCCGTCCGTCCGTCCGTCCTTCCTTCCTTCCCTCCTTCCCTCCCTCCCTCCCTCCCCCCACTACTATAAGTTTTGAGATGTTATTCTAGTAAAAGAGGGTTATGATATGAAAAGAAGGAACTACCATTCTCATAAAATAAATGGAACCCCAGGAAAATCTAGCCCACAGAGAAATGGGTTGCTTGGAAGTCACTACATACTGGAGATGCTTCAGAAATCAGTTTAAAACTAGATCTGCTTTTGGATCTCCTGTGTGAAAATGGCAAGACAGTTTTACAGAATTGCAGTCCACATTAGAGTTGGTTGTTGTAGTTGTTTACTCATTTAGTTGTGTCCGACTCTTCGTGACCCCATGGACCAGAGCACGGCAGGCCCTCCTGTCTTCCACTGCCTCCCAGAGTTGGGTCAAATTCATGTTGGTCACTTTGGTGACACTATCCATCCATCTCGTCCTCTGTTGTCCCCTGCTTCTCTTACCTTCGCATTTTCACAACCAGGGTCTTTTCCAGGGAGTCTTCTCTTCTCATGAGATGGCCAAAGTACTGGAGCCTCACCTTCAGGATCTGTCCTTCCAGTGAGCACTCAGGGTTGATTTCCTTCAGAACGGATAGGTTTGTTTTTCTTGCAGTCCAGGGGACTCTCAAGAGTCTCCTCCAGCAGTTGGTTAGGTGATGTCATCACATTGATGAAACGGGTGTTACTTGAGGTTAATATTGATCTGAGTGGAAACAAGAACGGATCCTAAATATGGAATTCAACCACGCATCCCACCTGTTCTCCTCATTAGCAGCTTCTTGAAGCTGAGGGATAGATTCAGGAGCCTGTTCCCCACAGAGCAGAGTACCTCACCATGAGCGGTCCCGGTGAAATCAATTTAGTTTTGAAAATCATCCTGCAGCTGAGTTATGTTTGGAAGCGCAACACTCAGTGGGAACAAGCAGATGTGGTTATAAGCAAGTTCTCTCATGAATCAATAGTTTATGATCTAAGCCTGCTATGCTTATTTGGTGTACAAATAGTTCTGTTTCAGAAAGAACACAAGACGAGTACAAACAGATTTGTCCATCTTGTATGCATTTGCACCTTCTAATTTCTAAATTTGGCAAGATGGCTTTAGACGGAACAATTTAATACAGCAGCGGGTACAAAACAAACACATGGCTGTATCCAGACAATACAGAGCCTCTTAGGCTTGCTTTTAAAAACCACAGTTCCCAGAATCCTCAGTCTACATGGTAACTGGCTTAGGGAAAAAAGGGAACATTTTGGGGAGTAACAGAGGTAGAACTGTATGTGTATTGGTTGCTACAGGGGTGCCAGCTTTATCTCTTTTTGGAATAAGCTGACAGTAGCTGAATGTCTCATGGTAATGGGCAGGGCAGGCCCTACCATTAGACAGAGAGAGGGGGTTGCCTCAGAAGGCAGATGCAAGTTGCATTCTCCTCACTTGAAGAACGGTGCTGCCTGTTCTAGGTAGTCAGCTCCCCTATGCCCTCAGTTGGCCTACTGCCCTTGTGTGACATGGTGGAAGACAAAACCAACAGAAGATTAAACTAGAAGCTTCTCGAGCTGCCATCTTGTTTGGTGAAGTAAGATCCACCAGTTGGCTGCTCTAAGCGCCATTTTGTTCTTTGCCTCAGGTACCAACATGCCTTGCCTCAAACACCAACAGTCCATGGTAGATTCAACAGCAGACTTGGGAGAAATAAAATGGATGAAGAAACACTCTCCTGTTGAAAGGGAAACCAGATCAGAGTCACCAGAGGCAGCATCTGTCTAAGTTGTAGCAGGTTCTTCTTCAGAAGAAGAAGAAAAAGAAGATCTCGCAGACTGCAGAGTCACCAGAGGCAGCATCTGTCTAAGCTGAAAGAAGAAAAACTCGCAGACTAAAACATGTTTCATTATTCTATTATCAAGATTACGTCTTTTCCAGGTTGTGGAAAAGGCAGTGATCATCCATAAGCAATCTATCATTTCCAGAAAATGAATATTGGAATATTCATCAACATTTATTCATTCCAGTATATTCCAATCTTCATGGAATATATTGGAATATTGTGGTTGGGAGATACATTATCCTTACCAGTACTGTTTGAAACGAACTACTATGGTGGGCTGCTTTTTCATCAAACTGGTTTTTCATATCAGAAATGCCAAACAGGATCAATGATTATTGTGTAGACCAGCAACTCTGCACATCTGATGTGCTCATTCTTCCATGGTACATGTTGAAGTCAGGGAACACAGTCATGGGTGCAAAGTTGCCTGTTCTCTGCATTCGTAAAAGACTGTGCAAAAACCAAACTTTCTTCCAAGCAAGAAAGGATAGATTTTCCTGGGGTTCCATCCATTTTAAGAAAGGAACAGTTCTTTCTTTCCATGCTATAGCCCTCTTTTGTTAGGATAACATCTCAAAAGCTGAGTTGGAAGAACCCTATGGATCATCAAGTCCAGCCTCCATCAAGGAGGCACAGTGGGGAATTGAACTCCCAAACTTTGGCTCTGCCAGCCAGAGACCTGCGCCATTGAGCTATCCAGCAGTTTTCTTTTCTTTTGTGTGGAGTTTTTGGAAAAGGGACATTTTTAAAAATCTGCTGCGCTGGAATACAATGGGAAATAGAATGAGGATCCGATATGGATGAGTATATGCATATAAGTGGAGTTGCATGATTTCCTCGTCTTTTCTCTTTTAGCGGAAAACAAAGAGCTGCTTGGAGAATATTCAGATCCTGGAGGCCAAGGAAAAGTGGGATTCTGAAGAACAGCCGGAAGCTTTGCAAAGCCAATATAACTCATCACTCTCCTTTGATATTCAAACGGTATTAGCTTAGCTTGTGCCTAGCCTAGTACATGCCTTTTCTTTGATTCCAAGGAAACTGAAATATTACCTTCTGGTATGTAGGTGTCACCTACTGTGCTAATTTATGTTAGTCACGTATCTGCAGAATGTATTAGCAAGATGGAGTTTATTACAACTTTTTAACACTGCCACCACTTTCTTCCGAGCTACAAATTAAACCTGCTGTCAAATGTGTCACAGACATAATAGGCAACTGCTTTAAAAAATAATTCGTATTGAAATGAATGGAAGAAAAGAACAGGTTTATTAGAAAAGGCATTTAGCAGGAAAAGCTGCTTGTTTCCAGGCCTGTACAGCAGCTTCAAAAGCAGGGAAAGAGGGAAGGGGCGAGAGGGAAAGCTAGAGAGAGAGAGAGAGAGAGACCAGGGCCAAAATGACAGCCACCCACATTTAAACAGTAAGGGGGGGAAAAGTCCCTGCTAGCTTTAGGGAGTGCAAAATCAGGAAGCCAGGAGGACTTAATTTTCACAGTTTTCAGTGGGCTGAGTCATTTCACTTCAATAATGCACCCCTCCCCCCCAAAAAAGGATCAGGGGAAGGAAACGTTAAGGAAGGAGTGTGCATACGTGTGCAAGATCACTCTCTGTTCCTCTTTCATAGAATTATAATATGTTTTCAGTAACCAGAAAGGCAGGTATGAATTGTATTAACCGAGACAGTAAATATTTTACAGGATGATACATTAATTGGTTGCATAGGCTGTGCTGCATATTTTTGTCCACTTCAGGAGACAGGGTACAAGACTAAATCAGAGGCGGGCAACACAGATCCTGTGGCCTTCATGCCTGCTTTTGTGCCCCCTTCCCCTATCTTACAGTCTTCCAGAAAAACAAAGGAATGGGTATGAGATAAAATCAAGCCTGAACTCTCCCAATGATTAAACTGAGGCAATCATATTTGGGCATATTTTGAGAAGACAAACAATCTCCCCCCAGAAATCTGTCTGGTTCCCTCGCTGGGCGTTTTTAAGAGCCAGCTTAAGACCTGGCTCTTCAGACAAGCTTTCCCTCCTGTCAATACCTAACTTATTTTGCCATCCTCTAGTGTACTAATATTGTTGTTTGATTTTAATATTGTTGTTAGCTGCCCAGAGTAAACTTTGATCTAAATGGGCGGGATATAAATTAAATTAATAATAATAATAAGAAGAAGACAAGACTTACTAGAAAAGGCATGAATTGTTGTTGTTTAGTAACTAAGTTGTGTCCGACTCTTCGAGACCCCATGGACCAGAGCACGCCAGGCCCTCCTGTCTTCCAATGCCTCCCGAAGTTTGTTCAAATTCGTGTTGGTCGCTTCGATGACACTGTCCATCCATCTTGTCCTCTGTCGTCCCCTTCTCCTCTTGCCCTCATACTTTCCCAACATCAGGGGAAGTCCAGGGAGTCTTCTCTTCTCATGAGATGGCCAAAGTATTGGAGCCTCTGCTTCAGGATCTGTCCTTCCAGGCATGAATAGTGCTAGGAAAAGTTGTAGGCAATAGGAGAAGAGGAAGACTAAGATGAGATGGATTGATTCGATTAAGGAAATCACAGGATTTATTTTGCAAGACCCCTTCTTGGATGAACACCTTAATGTGGCAAAGGGGGTTGAATGTGTCAGAGAAGTTGAGAACAATGCCATCTGGAGACTAAACTCCGTTGTGAGCCTGGAATCCTAGTAGGGTCACCCAAGGTGAAATGGTCATAGCTGAGGCCCCAGACTATGATGTATCCACCCTCTTCAAGTGTAACAGCTGCAGCAGCAGAAGAGAATGGGCAGGAAAAATTCTGCTTTAAGAAAAAACTGAATGCAAGAGATAGGGAACCTGGCAGATTTTTCCACTCCTCTAACCTAGCTGAACACATTGAGCAAAACAATTAGTTCTGCTTTCCTTAAATTCCTTGTCCTCTTTGTCTAGATCGTTGGTGAACATATGAAGGCATCAGGCAAAATTTGCAAAAATCTGGAAATGGCAGTCCTTGAAATGAGCGTGAAAGAAGTGACAGAATTCATACCATGGTAACGTCTGTTCTTTCCCAATATCAGTATCTAAGTCAACAGTTCAGAGCTGAATTCCTTGATACTTCCTTCCAGTTCTTGTGATAAGTGTGATCAACATGCATCTGGCTACCCCGAAGACATACAAGCAAGCGTTTTTTTGTTCTGTAATTTTCATTTGCAGACAATTCCAGAATCTGACTCTGCTATTTCCAAAGCCAAGGATTTCAAATAAGAGGACTAAGAGGAAAAAATCTCTAGTGGGAACCCCATGAGTTTATGTTCTTTGAGTCTTGATAAAAACAGATAGCCAAGGATGCAATAGAACTGTGGACTTTGGGTCCCCAGATGTTCCTGGACTACAACTCCCAGACATCCTGGCCAACACATCTAGTGGTGAAGGCTTCTGAGAGTTTTTGTCCAAGAACATCTGGGGACCCAAGGCTGGGAACCAGCGCTTTAGAGATGCTAATTATTTATTACATCTATATTCTACCTTTCATTCAGTGACATTAGTGTACAGCCACTCCTCTTCTCCACTTTATATCTTCTCAGCATCCCTCTGAGATAATTGAAACCAAGAGACTATGCCTGACCCAAGACCGTCCAGTGAGTGTTATAGCTGAGTGGGCATTTGAACCCAGGTCACCCCAGTCCTAGGCCAGCCACTACTTCACACTGGCTCTCCGTTTCATTAGTCTAGACTAGACACGGGGACGAATATAAAAACTAATCAGGATATTCGTTAAATATCCCTGGTTCATCAGATATTAGTTTCAACGTTTTTATAACCCTTTTATATCCGTCCCTTCGTTCCCTAGCTGCTTATGCCCACATGGATCAGCTGTTCCTCAGAGGATGAGGGGGGGCACAGCCCACAGCTGGCCCATGAGTTGAAAGTTCTGCCCTCCTGTTCTATAAAGCCTTAAGGCATTTCCACAACTTGGCATTTAGCAATGAATTTTCATGCTTTGTTTGCTCACTTTTTGCTGCGCACCTATCTGATGCTGTCAGCCAATCATAATCGGCATCCTGCAGTTCCTCTGAGTTTCTTCCATCTTTTCATAAATTGCAGAAAGTCTGACTTTATAAAGCAGCACCAAAAGAGAAGGAGTGTCTCCACAGGGAGAGACACCTTTAACACAGCTTGTCTTTTTAAAGAACAGGTTTTTGCCTCAGGGATTCGGGGATCCAGACTTTAAAAAGCAGGCATTCAAGTGTAGGAGGAAGTAATCTGAAGTCAGCTCTACAGCCCTTCACCATAGACTTTAGGAGGCATTTTATCACTCAGTTAATTTCAAAAGTGATTTGTTTAATAAGCCATAAAACACTCTCCCAGCTATATTTATTTTGAAATATTAAAAGCTCAGCGTAGCACTTAAGCGAAAGAGCATTATAGCGCCATAACGCTGTAATTCCTTTTTTTTATTCTAATGATGGAGGAAAACACATTTTCTGTCACTACAATTGCTTTGTCAAAATGATGGTGAATAGAAATGGTGCTTTTCATATCCATTCATACCCCCATCATCATCATCATAATAATCCCTCTTAGAATCACATACAAAAGCACAGACCGGAGCCTATTCAACTCCAAATTCTCTAAATAAAAAGATGCACATTGTGGCCAGATAGCAACCATGTCAACATGTCTTACAGAAAGCCAGTAGCAGCTCTGCATGCAGTTAACAGAAGAAGAGCCATGATAGATTGTAGGAGGACTTAACTTCTAGGTACAGCCCTGACCTCGCAGCTTGCTTTTTAGGGGCAGACTCTTGAAGATGCCGTAGGCTGCATCTGCTATCACATTGATTTAAAAATGAATTAATAACAGATGGTAGTCCACACAAATGCTTTTCATATTCCATAAAATATATTTTTTGAGATTGCATGCCAGTTTGGTGTGGTGTCAGAAATGAAGAGGGCAGAACCACCTCTTCCTACATTGCCCCTTCCCTGACACCCTGCTCTTTTTCACCCTATAGGTAGAAATGTGTGTAGAATGGAACCAATTGGTAGAAAATAGCGAGTTCACGAAACTTGAGGGTGGTGGTGGAAAGAGTGTTCAAACTAAATCAATTCAGAACCAAGCTAAGAACAAATTAGCTTTAACCTTTGAAATTTCATCCCACAGGAGCTCAGTAGAGTGAGTATTTTCCTATTAAACTCTTTACCCTGTCAAGCATGGCAGAGAGGAAGGAAAATTACTTGTCTGGATCATGAACTTATCTCATTCCTAGAGTGTGAATACAGTTACAAATGCATAATTAGCTTAGCAGATCAGATTGAATGTCCAGGTGCATGGATTTTACTTTTACTTTGGATTTTAGATGTGATTAATTCCCAAAGTACTAAAACAACCTTCGAGAAATCTAGGTTCAGATATATACAAATTGTATATACAGTGGTGCCCCGCATGACGATGATAATCCGTTCCCCTGAAATTGCTGTTAAGCAAAATCGTCGTCATGTGAAAAACAATTCCCCATTGGAATGCTTTGAAACCTATTTAATGCATTCCAGTGGGGAAATTACCTCGTCGTCCAGTGAATATCGCCCATAGGGGAAGCCATTTTTTGCGCACCAATCAGCTGTTAAGAAGATTGCCCATAGGGGAAGCCATTTTTCGCGCACCAATCAGTTGTTAAAATGACTGCCCTGCGAAGCATGGGTCCGGAAAAGACAGGGCAGCCATTTTGCGGAGCCGGAAAAATCGTCGTCTTGCGAACAAACAGTTCACGAAGCATGCACCTAATCGTCGTCAAATGAAAATACCCCATAGGAAATATTATTTTGTGATCGCTATAGCGATCTTAAGGTCTTGCGAACAAACGGTTCGTGAAGCACGCACCTAATTGTCGTCAAATGAAAATACCCCATAGGAAACATCATTTTGTGATCGCTATAGCGATCTTAATAAAGCCATCGTATTGCAGATTCATCGTTTAGCGGGGTCATCATGCGGGGCACCACTGTAATAATAATAATAAACCCTGAATTCTCAGATGGAGCCTTTTCTCCTAAAGCAAGGGCAGCCAACATGCACGCTCACTACCGTGCAGGCCTCAGCACCCCATGGGGTTGCCCACATGCTCCTAGTCTCAGTTCTTTTCAGTGTTGGCGAGAATGGCTCAGAATGTAACTGTGCCCTCTCACAGTTTGGGAGAATAATTTGGGAATATGTGCAACCCACCCCCTGGTGTGATGATGGTCAGGAGTGGCCCCAAGCTCTGGAGATCAACCAGCACTGTCCGAAAGGGTTCAAACTGCTCATCTTAGTATTGCAAATGTGGAGTTCTTAGGAATACGAAAAGCTCTCCATCTTGATTTCATTGCATTTTTCCTGAATCCTGCCCACACTCTCAGCCCTCCATTTTTATTCCTATTAAGATTGGCTGAGAAATCTGCTCTTTAAAACCCACTTAACATGCTGTTTCACGAAGGTCATGTCACCAGTTTAGCAGGAGTCATGAGCATGGAAAGAAAACACATGTAGCATCTTGAACTCTCAAATCTGTCAGTCTAAGATAGCCAGGGTGCTACAGCGGGTAGAGTGAAAGACTAGGAAGCAGGAGAGATGGGTTTGAGTCTTTTCTTGGTGGAAACTCAGTGGGAGGCGATGGCTGGTAAAACCACTCCTTAAATATCTTACTTACAGTAGGACACACACACACGCACATGCACACATACATACACACACACACAAACACACACAAAGTCCTTTGGATCAATATCCACTAATTCATTTATCTGCTGGCTGAAAATATTAAATAAAAAAACCTAGAAATACCTATTTATTAGACATGGCATATTCGTATTTGCATCCATAGGGATACGAATATTGGCACCATAGGTGCTCGGGAAGTCCAGTCCCTCCCCCCACAACAAACTGGCAGGTCCAGTTACTGGTTGCCACTCGGCACGTGCAGCTGGTGTCATTCTCATCTTGTCCATCACAGAAGTAGCCCAGCCAGCGCTTCTCCACCTCCCCACGCAGCCGACCATTCAATCGCTGAATGGAGAGACTCTTCCCCCTGCCTCCTCACCGGAATGGTCAGCTGTGCAGGGAGACAGGGAAGCACTAGCAGCAAACTTTCTATTCAGTGGTTCCCAAACTTGGGTCCCCAAGTGTTCTTGGACTAAAACTCCCAAAATTCCTAGCCAACACAGCTAGCCGTGAAGGCCTCTGGGAGTTATCGTTCATGAACTTGTTGGGACCCAAGGTTGGGAACCACTGGATAGGAAGCTTGTTGTAATGATTGACAGGCATGCAGGCAGGTGTAAATGGAAGAAACAGACAGTCTTGTGTCTTGAGTCTAGTTCCAGCTGGTGTCTGAGGCATGGTGCTGCCCAGATAGCATACACCTCCCTCCCACAGTTGAGGGACTACAGACGGACCTGGACCAATGGAAGGTCTTTCTATCCTAACCTTCCTGTGGTGAAGCTGGTAGGGTAGAAAAGAAGACAATAAGGGTTAACCCCTCCAAGGAGAAAAGCAGCTACAGTACATGCCAAGTGGAACAAACACCTTCTCTGACCAGTCAGCTCACTATCATCTTGATCTATGTCATGTGCCATCAAATCAGCTGTAATGATTTGACACGGCTAGCTGTGTTGGCTAGCATTTCTGGGAGTTTTAGTCCACTTGTTCTGTTGTATCTCTGGATGGGGACCCAAATTTGGGAACCACTGTTCTGTTGTATCTCTGGCTATCTGTTTTTATCTGGACTCAAAGAACATAAACTCATGGGGTTTTCCAAAGGAATACAGGTTACGACAGGTTTTTTTTTCTTCCCACTTTGAAATGTTCAGTACAGTAAGATTCCCGTATCTGCAGGGGATCAGCTCCAGTCGCCCCTCCGCGGATGCTAAAAGACACAGATTAGAGTGAATGCTATTCTAATACAGTGGTGCCCCGCATAGCGACGATAATCTGTTCCAAAAAAATCGTTGCTATACGGATTCGTCGCTGTGCGGGGCAAAAAAGCCCATAGGAACCTATTGAAACCCCTTCAATGCGTTCCTCTGGGCAAAAAACTCACAGTTCTGCGGAAATCCTCCATGCGGCCGCCGGTAAGCGAGGAAAAGGCGCGAAAACACTGCGGGCAGCCTTTTTTCCCCCTGGCGGCCATTTTGGAACCGCCGATCAGCTGTTTTTAAAACATCATTATGCGATAATCGGTAAGTGAAACGCTTACCGATCATCGCAAAGTGATGTTTTGCCATTGAAAAACTCATCGCTATGCGGATTCGTCATTAAACGAATCGTTCGTTATGCAGGGCACCACTGTATTTGAATTAGAATAACAACATGGCATGTTTTCTGTCTTCCTCTAGTGACCAGTTCATACTTCAGTAACTTCATACAGTATTTAGGAATATATTTCTAGGATTTTTCTTTTAATATTTTTTATACTTTTCAGACTCTAGATAAGTGAATCAGCCGATTCTGATCTCACAGATAAAAAGGTATACGGACGTATCTTGGTTTACGAACGCCTCGGTTAACGCAATTTTTGGTTTACGAATGAAAATCCATTGAAAATATAATGCCTCGGTTTACAATTTTTTTCCCCGCAGTACAAAGGAAGTTTCCCCAGGATCCATTGTGTCTGGAGGTTTATAGCCCCGCCCCCGTTCCTAGGGCAAACCGCATTTTGGTTTATGCATTTTTCATTATGTAACGTCCCAGAGAATGCATTAAATTTATACACCGAGGTACACTTGTAAATTTTTTCTGTGTACATTTTTTGATGTATGTATTTTGAATACTTTCCCCCATTGGGCGAAAGGTTTTCCGCATATTTTTTAGCTGTACCCCTTTTTATCGGTTTCTATTTTTTTGAATGCTTGAACACGCCTTTGAATGGGCCCATTTTGTCTGCATGATTGAATCTGCATGTATTTTGTTTCCTGGAAATACAGCACAAGGTGGATTTCTGAGTCAAGTACACTTTATCATCTCCATGGTGGATGGACTTATTAGCCATGTTACTTTGGAGGAGCAAACAAACACAGAGGGTTTTGTGGCACCTTGAAAGAGTAAGAAGTTTGATCGTGTGCTTACCTGGATTGCAGCCCACTTGCCCACAGTTGCAGTGAAGCGAGCCGAAGCCTCTGCTCTTTGTGTCTATTCTGTTTGTAACTGGATGGCAAACCACTTTCAATGCACCATTCTTTTACAGCTTTGGGAAAGCATTTCTGGAACAGGACAAAGTGAAAGATTATCCCCAGTTTGCTTCATTAATGGTGGCCTACCTTAACAACTTCCATGACTTGAGGTAAGCTTTTAAACCCTGTTTCCAAGGAAAATATCATATTGCAAGCATTACAATACATGGATTTCTGGCTGCAAATGGACAGCCAGTCAAAAGAAACTGAAACAAATTCCTTCCTTGGCCCTATTCTTAAATGGCTACTGGTCATGGTGCTACTATTTCTATTTTTGTTTCTGTTGTTATGTACTATCAACTCACATATGGCGACCCGATGAATGAGTAGTTCTCGGTGCCTCCAAAATGTCCTGACAACCCTGCTGAAGTCTTGCAAACTCAAGGCTATGGTTTCCATTACTGAATTAGTCCATCTCATATTTGGTCTTCCTCTTTTCCTGCTGCCTTCAATTTTTCCTGACATTATTATCTTTTCTGGTTGAGTTTTGTCTACTCAGGATGTGCCCAAAGCAGAACAGCCTCAGTTTTGTTATTTTCCTCCCTAAGGAGAGTTCAGGCTTAATATGATCAAGGATCTACTTTTTTTGTCTTTATAGCAGTCCAAGGTATCACAACGCTCACCTCTAGTGCTGTATTTCAAATAAATCATTCCACACACCCCATCAGCTTTCTTCACTGCCTAGCTTTCACATCCATACATAGTAATCAGGAGTAGAATACAGATTATTCTAGCCAAACGTTATTCTGAATCAGAGGCAGAGGGGGAAGAAAGCTATTACTTTCACATCCCACTTATATCATATGTTTGGCCACTGTGAAAAAGGTCGCTGAACTAAGAACTGCAGCTTAGAAATATGATTTCCACCATAGCCACTAGGGGAGTTTGGGAGTTGTAGTCCAAAAAGTAAATTTTCCAATCGGATCCATCGAGGCTGATTTCCTATGGGAAAGACGAGTCTCCTCTCAGTAATGCTGCCATTTTGAATCATTTATGCAAAATCCTTTCTATTTGGAATTTAAATCTTGTGTTTTGCACAAATTATAAGGTTTTTGTACAGCCTTGATTTTCTTTTTCTTTTTTTAAGAAGGAAAATGGGGAACTGCAGAAAATGCACTGAAACTCTCACAGTTTCATCCTGCAGGGTGAAAACTTCTGGCTTTTTTCATGTTTATCCGCAAGAAGAAACTGAAAAAAATAAAGATTGAATTCCTTATTTACAGTATATCTTCAAAAAAAAATCTTCGCTCCTCGCTAGAGAAAACTTTCACTCCCATCCTTTCTTTACATGCTGTTCCAAACTGCATAACCTGCAGCTGCGATGCAGTAAATATTCTTCTTTACCTGCCCTGAATTGTTGCTGCCTCTGTGTCTTTTTGGTTTGCTCGAAGAATTAATTTTACGTACTAACATCAATCCACCTCTAGGTGGCAGTGTACCCTCAATCATGTGCAAGAAAGCCTGTGTAGGGAAATCCAGTTCTTTCCTCAGACATTATTCTTAATTTTAAAAAAATAAAATAAACCACCAAAATTTTAAAAAACAAGAACACCCGGCTTTCAGAATATCTGCTTTCAACACCCTGCTTTCAAAATATTTGCCAGTTTTGATAGCTATGGTTTAAGGATTGATACTGGCAGTAGGATGTGAGGCAATTTACTACTTGCAGATATAGTAACTGCTGCCCTCAAGATTATAATTAGATAATTAAATGTCCTTGAGCCACTTCTGACTTCTGGCTCCCCATTATATCCTAGATATAAAGTACCAGACTGTGTGGTTAATCAGTGCCTTCTTCTGAGGGCAATCTGTAACCATGAAGCTTGCCCAAGGCTACACAGGCTGACTCTTCCCCTGAAGGCATAGTGGGGAATCAAACTCCCAAACTCTGGCTCTCTGTTTTTATTTTTGTTTTTTAAAGTGGCACATATCCCAGACGCTTCAGCCCATGGGCACCTGGTCAGCCTACACTGCTGGAGTGTATGGATCACCGTGTGAATTAATGGCCCTCATAATGTCTTGTCATGAACCTCCCTGTGCAGCTCTGTCAAAATGAAGCCTGTGACCATCTTTGTTGAGTCATTCATCCATCCCATGTTCTGTATTGGCACGAAATGGGCCTCTGCTGGCCTCTAGTGACATCGTCCCACTTAGAGGAGATTGGATGGATTATAAATATCTTAGAATAATAGTAATCATAGAACTGCAGAGCTGGAAATGACCCTATGGATCATCAAGTCCAGCCCGTCAAAGACACACAGTGGGGAATTGAACTCCAAATCTCCTAAACCAGGGGTCCCCAATGTTTTTCACCCCACAGACTGGCTGGGGAAGGCAAGGCACCCCCACGCTTGTGTGCATGCGTGAATGAGCTCTCTCTCTCTCTCACGCTCGTGTACATGCGCAAGTGGTGGCGCAGTGCTTGTGCAGGGCACACACACATGTGCAAACGGCAGTGCTTGTGCATGTGTGCATGCACTTATGCACATGTACAAACAGTGGCACAGCACTCGTACAGGCACACTGGAATGCGCATGCAGGCACAAACAGGCTGTGCGGGGGTGAATGCATGGGGGGTAGTCTGTCTTCACAGCCCCGTCCGACTCAGGCCATGAACTGGCACTGGCGGACCGGGGGTTGGGGACCTCCGTCCTAAACCACTGAGCTATCCAGCAGTCCTTTGCTCATAGAATGAGGAAAGGACTGCTGTAAAATGAATACAGTTAACTGATTAATTAATCCATGAAAGAGGACTCTGCCAGCTCTTTGAACAGAGGACTGTTCTCTGCAAAGTAGGACAATTAATTATCTGGGGAGAATTCTTTGGTGAGTGCATTTCTATTGAATATAAATGCATTTGTACTGATCATCAAGGTTTTTTGAAAATAAAATTAATTGATTAGTGAGAAGCCAATTAATTATCCAGAGAGAATTCTTTGATGAGTGCACAGCTATACTTTCAGTGCTCCTTTCCCCCTGTTTTATTTTAATTATTACCAATATTCAGTAATTACTGGCAAATTGCCAACTGGTAAGAAGACAGTATACCATTTAATTTAGAGCTTTTAATTTCACCTTCATTTCTGTTCCTATTGCAGCTTCTAATCTAATGGAAGTGGTAAAATTAATATAGATATTTTGGGAATGTAACCTTTTAAAAAACCAAGGGATGTGGTGGCGCTGCGGGTTAAACTGCAGAAGTCTCTGTGCTGCAAGGTCGGAAGACCAGCAGTCATAAGATTGAATCCACACGATGGAGTGAGCTCCCGTCACTTGTCCCAGCTCCTGCCAGCCTAGCAGTTCAAAAACATGCAAATGCGAGTAGATAAATAGGTACCACCATGGTGGGAAGGTAATAGCATTCCATACCTAGTCGTGCTGGCCACATGACCACGGAAACTGTCTATGGACATATGCTGGCTCTGTGGCTTGGAAATTAGGATGAGTACTGCCCCCTAGAGTCGGACACGACTGGACTTAATGTCAAGGGGAACCTTTACCTATACCATTACCTTTTAAACTGGGCTTGGATTACGACTGGACTAAATGTCAAGGGGACATTTCCTTTACCTTAACCTTTTAAACTGGGCTTGGATGGAGTAGCTCTTCCAAGAGAGGACTCTGCCAGCTCTGAACAGAGGACTGTTCTCTGCAAAGTAAGACATTTTTACTGCTTTTCTTACTATTTATAAGTTGAGAGACAGCATCTGTTTTCATTCAGCTCTTTGAACAGAGGACTGTTCTCTGCCAAGTAGGATATTTTTTACTGCTTTTCTTACTATTAATAGGTTGAGAGACAGCATCTGTTTTCATGTATACAAGGTTCCTTACACTCGCCATGTAACCATCATTATTCTGGTGACTTCTTCCCTGTAGGATGGACTTCAGAACAAGATTTAACGTCAGCTGTGAAGAACTGGAAAAAAACCTGGATGAGCTGATACTGAGATACAGGAAATATTTTCTGAATAAATTAATGCTGAAAACACAGGTAAGAGGATTTTTAGGAATCTGGCAGAATCCAGCTGCTGAGATTCGAATGCAGGAGGGATTTGTGTTCATGGTCCTGGTGAGACAATCACTGGGTATTATCTCAAGTGTGGGATGAATCCTCCCCTGCTCAGTTTGAAACTTGACTAATGAGACAGATCTTGCTTGTGCTACAGATATCATATTTCCACGATGGTTTATACTGCCCTGCAAGAGCCCAGGCAAATGATTATACTCAGCTTGACATTTTGCAGCTTGAGGCACAACGACCAGTGGTGCCAGTCGTCCACTCGTGTAACACGGTACAAACCACTTAAGCCAGTCATTATTTTGATACTTGAAGCAATGCCTAGAAAGCTACTTTTAAGAAAAACGAATGTGATGATGACATGCTGAAATGCCCATAACTGAGCAATGGCAGGACGATGCGCTGATGCCCTGAGTGCCATCAAGCCACTTCTTGGTTATGGGTGGCTTTGGCATGTCATCATGTTCATAGTTCTTAAAACTAACTTTCCAAGGTTTGAAAAACCCCAGAGGAACCTCCCTTCTGTGGCAATGGAAGTAGCCCCAGTTAAATGGGTGTCTTGGCTTCTAGAAAGCTTTTCTCTCTAGGTAGGTATGTATGTGTGTGTGTGTGTGCGTGCGTGCGTGCGTGCGTACGTGCATACGTACGTACGTACATACAGTGTTGCCTCGCTTGACGAGGATAATCCGTTCCAGTGAAATCGCTGTAGAGCAAAATCCTCGTCAAGCGAAATAAAAAAAGCCCATTGAAACGCATTGAAAACCGCTCATTGCGTTCCAATGGGCTAAATACCTCAGCATCCAGCAAAGATCCTCCATAGGGTGGCCATTTTCCGATGCCTGTGCAGTGAAAAATCCGTCCTAAAGCACAGCGGGGAGCCATTTTACACAGCGGGCGGCCATTTTGAAACCCGACGATCAGCTGTTTCGATCGTCATAATGCGAAGAATCGGTTCTCGAAGCAGGGAACTGATCGTGGGGAAGCGAATTTTGTCCATTAAAACATCGTTTTGCGATCGCAAAAGCGATTGCAAAAACCTCATCGTCAAGCGGATTCATCGTTTAACGAGGTAATTGTTAAGCAAGGCACCACTGTACATACATATGTACATACATACCGAAAAGCGATTGCAAAAACCTCATCGTCAAGGGGATTCATCGTTTAACGAGGTCATCGTTAAGCGAGGCACCACTGTACATACATACGTACATACATACCACCCATCTGGCTGAGGGTCACTTTGGGCTGTTTACAACAAAGACACACAGCGGCGTAATTAAAAGACCAACAGAATAAAAGATAAAAATGATAAAATTCAGTGAACAACATAATCAGAAAGCATTCAAATACATTTACATCAATAAACATTTAAAATGTCAGAATTGGTCATGTTAAGGATAATGACTCTGCAGGTCATTATCTCTTTTGAAACACCTGCCTGAATAACAGATTTTAATGACCTTTTAAAAAATCACCAGTGAAGGGAACAGACAAATTGCAGGAGGAAGCTCATTACACGGCCAAGGAGCAAACACCAAGACGGCCGGGTTTCTCATTTTCTCCTTCTGGACCTCTCTTGGGATCTCTCTTGGTGCAGCTTGAGGCACAGCAACCGATGGCACCAGTCTTACACTCATGTAACACGGTACAAACCACTTGAGGCCAGTCATTGTTTTGAAACTTTCCAAGCAATGCCTGGAAAGCTACTTTTAAGAAAAACGAATGTGATGATGACATGCTGAAACTGCCCATAATTGTGCAACGGAAGAACGATGCCCTGATGCCCCGAGTGCCATCAAGCCACTTCTTGGTTATGGGTGGCTTTGGCATGTCATCATGTTCATAGTTCTTAAAACTAACTTTCCAAGGTTTGAAAAACCCCAGAGGAACCTCCCTTCTGTGGCAATGGAAGTAGCCCCAGTTAAAGGGAAAAGACAAATTGCAGGAGGAAGCTCATTACACAGCCAAGGACCATCCACCAAGAAGTCCGGGTTACTCATTCTCTCCCTCTGGATCTCTCTTGGGGTTAACATCCTCAGTCAGCCTGCTTGGGATGTTCACATAGGATGGGCAGATCCAGTTGGAAGTAGGTGTTACTGCCTTATATTTAAATGATTTGAGTGTGACCAGAGGAGACATGAACCATTTATAGAGACTTGAAAGCATACGCATTACATATCAAAGTGAATTTAAAAGGAAGATAATTACTCACAGGCTGAACAAATTGACAAAATTTTCCTTTGTAAGTTCTTAATGGTTATTTATTGTCCAGCCTGGACCTTAAGGCTGTCATCCTCCAGAGCCTACAGATTGACCTGGGAGCAAATCCCATTTAACACAATAGAGAAGAGATGTAAATGATTGAGCAGCCATTATAAATCTATAAGGACGAAAGAGTTATGCTGAGGTCAGGACTATAAGGGTATGGAGATGTACTTGAGAGTAAACACCACAGACTTTGATGGAAATGGCTTCTTTGTGAATGAGTTTTCTGCTGGATTGAGATGCCAGAAAACTGACTTAAGTGATGACTACATTAGCAAAAGATGTGGGAAGTACTATGGATTTGGAGCGGGCTGGCTCATATTTTCCTCTGTTGATCACACAATGCAACGAGAAATGTGAATCGGGCCTCAGCTTTCCCATCCCTAGGGATGTTTCTACGTTTTAAAAATACACATCCTTTCACATCAGTTCAAGCATGTGGTCGCTTGAACCAATGCAGAAAGGGAGGATGAGTCAAGTCTACACTCACACAGTGGTACTTTGCCAAACCACCCTCCCTTTTGCCTCTTGTCTCACAAAGGAAGTGAGACACACACACATACATACACACACATACACAGTATCACCTCAGCAAGGCCTCTGTCCCAAGACACTGTTTTAAAAGCTTCTCTTCCATGTTTGTTTTGCAGCTCAACAAAGCTCTCCCATTTGGCAAGAGTTTTTTTAAAAAAAAATACAAGATGAGGAAATGAGTAGTTGAGGAAGGAAAAACTTCCTTTAAAGTAGTTCTTTGAACCACACCATCCACAGGTGTTTCTATAGCAGCGCAATAAGAAGGCTTTTTATGTTTTCCTGTGTGGCCACTTAAATCAGAGGCCCGATTCCTGTAGTGCATCTGCACAGCAAGTGTATGCAGGTGAATTCCCATTTCTCTCAATGTGTAATTGCACCCTTACTCAAATGATTTTTAATAATCTGAATCCATGTTAACAGCACTGAGGTAAAATGTGCTCTCAAACCGTTAGTCCTAGCGATAAGATGCTAGCAATTAGCTAAGAGAGGTTACACCAGAGAAAGCTTCCCGCCTGAATTAAAATCAGCTTATGAACAACAGGATTCCTATGCCTTTGGTCAAAGTTGTTCATTGTTAAATGCTTAAAATTGTTTGGAAGGTATCTTGAAAAATAAGAAGTTTTGGCATTAAATTTCTATGTGTTGATAATCATGCATATCCATTTCCTAGGTTTGATTTACTGCTCCTATCTGGTCTCTTCTACCAGCAGATGTAAAAGTCGCTTCTTCAAGCACAGTGTAATTGATGTTGAAAGAACGTTGTGGTCTCCCACAGAGGAAACTGCCCAAACCACATCTTCACTAATTCTATATGCAGATACTGTATTTTTTGTGAACTGCAGACATTTTGGCAGGAAGGGAAGCATTCTTTCCCTCAGTCTCACACTGGTGGCAAGAAGTTTCGTAGGTTTTAATGAACTCTCAGAGGTTGTCTCTACAAGATTGAAATGCTTTGTCAGATTTCTTCGTATCTACTTCTTTAGTAGGACCGGTCAGTGGGCTGGCTGTGTCCTCCCCACCCCTCTGTACAGCAGTGTTTCTTTCCCATCACCTATAACATTGTTGTGTTAAATAGAGGGGCCAAAGAATAAAGTTGGGACCCTTTGCATACAAAATATATGCTCAGTCACTGACCCATGCATCTTCCCCAACATACACAGGATTCAGTGTTCAGCAGGCTAGAACTAAGAACTATGTAAAGATCACAGCAGCAAAACCTACCAAAAGGTATAAAATGCTGCAGCCGACAACTTTAAACATATTGTGACAATTGCAGAAGTTTCATGGAAAATCACCCCATAAATCCATTTCAGATGGATTTATTGCAGCAACTTAAATTCACATTTTAACATCTTGAATTGATTGCATGTTTATTGGTTTTACTGTTTTTAAATTTGTAATGCTGCCCAGAGTAGACCTTTGGTCTAGATGGGTGGGGTATAAATCTAATTAATTAATTAAATTTTAAAAATGAGTCTACATTTTCACGCCATAGATTTTAACACTGTGGAAAGGCCCTTAATGTTTCATATATTAGGTCCCTGTTGAATATTAGTTTACATGCACATTTTTCCCTTTCTTTTCCCTACAGAATTTATATAAAGCTTTTCACACTACACAGGCTTCATTACAGCTTGCCACATCAATAAAATTCAATGCAATGCCAAACAGCAGTAAAAACAACAAAGTAAAGATAGCAGACCTAGCAGATTTTTTAAAAAAATCTATTGAAAGCCGCTAACGTGATCTAAGATTCAATGAAAATGAGAAAAGAGAACAGACTTTCAACTCACACCTAATGAAAAAAACAGGGTTTATCATGGCCCAAATCTCATTCATTTTAGCCTAAGCCCAATGGTCCATTGTGCACATAGTTGTCTTTTTCATGGTGTTTGTGGTATGCACTAGTCTCTTGCACATGTAGAAGTTCTGTTGTTTTCAATGGCTTATGTAACTGCAAGGTGCAAAGTGCACAGGGCACTCTGAAAATTAAACAGAGAAATAACTTTCCTAAAGATTTGTTAAAGGTTTGCCAAATATTTGTTAAAGAGAAGTAACTCAAGAGTTTCTTTGGAGTATGCAAGCCAGTGTCCTTCAGATGTCTTGGACTGCAACTCCCATAAGCCCCACCAGTATGGGCACTGATATGAAATTATGGGAGTTGTAGTACCAAA